GACTCGGCTGAAGGTGATATGGTTTTGAACCCAAGACCATGGGAGCTGCCAGATAAGCTCACCACTGACTTACAGCAGTAGGAGGAGGCTGGGCTGTGGCACACATACAATAACAGACCAACCATGCCTATGGAACAGTGGGACAGACAAACAATCCATTGACTATCATGGGTCGAAAATCTTTATCATGGTATGGTATACAAGACCTTTAGATCTATAAATTATTATATTTACATGTAAAGAAAGAGAAAAAAAGATTCCCTTCAGCTTCTACAACTGCCTTTTTCATTCCATTCTTGACACAAACAAGGTAAAAGAACAAAGGGCAGCTACTTTGGCTAGATCTATATATATAAAGTAGGGGAAACAACTCCAAGACCATAGCAAACAAACAAATTTAATTGGCAAAGTGTCCTGAGAGAAACGCTGTGTTATAAAATGTCAGCATAATATTTTGAAAACAAGTTTTGTACCCAATTTCTCTCCTTTTGAAAATATTTAGTATTAGTATACTCAAGGCAACATTTGTAGGTCATCAAAAGTACATGCACATTTTAAAGAGTGATACTTCATCCACTAAAACTGAAAGAAAGAGAAAAAATGCACTAAAGGCATAACAATACCATGCACCAAACAAGGACATATATATATCTTTATCGCACTATTACAATTCTTCACAACTAACACTAACACTAATATAATACAATGAAAAACAACTTTACTTTGAAAATGTCTGAGCTTGAACAAATCAGCACATAATGTGAAAGGATAATTCAAATTGTTTGCTTCACCAGAAAATTGAACTAATACGCAACTTTTATCTTAAAAAATAGTCAAAAGATACAGGTACGGTAACTAATGCGACAAGAACCAGATCAAACAGCATTGTTACAAGAGCTCATTAATGCCTCAAATATATCAGTAAATCATTCGAAGCAGGTATTGACAATTTATTTACATATGCACAATAATTCAAACAACGTAATAATCAGTGCATTAGTACATATATATATATCAGAGGTCATCAAACTATGGCTCGTGGGTCAGATACCGACTATGAGGTCAGTTCGTCTGGTCCAACACCATGAAAGATTGTGGAGGGAAAAAAACACCTTTGTACTACTGTCTTTTCAACATGGTCAGGACTTGGACACCAAACTAATTTATTCATTTCACTTAACTCCACAGGAAAGTAAAAATGCTTTTTTAGACTTCTTAACTTTAAGCGAATGCATCATACTCTCGATTTTGACTTTAAAATGTTACAAATATATTGAAAACAGGGAGCTGCCGTTTGTCCCACTACCCTTGCACAAGGATTTCTCAAGTTTGTCGTCTTCATTTTTTGTGTATTTTGTATTTTTTGTATTGATAAAACAATAGATTGGTTGCCTTCATTAATTTTTTTTTACATATTCAGGGTATTGCATTGAACAACATAGATATCTGATCCATGCTCGCCATTCTCAGTTATCCAGTCCACTTCTAAAAGAGTGTGGTGGCCCCTGGTATATATCAAAGAACTGACCAAAAAAAGATCACCACCGCACAAATTTTGTAGGTGGGGGGGGGGGGGGTTTACAGACTAGGACTAGGACCAATAACTCAGAAAAGTTTCAAAATATAACTGATGTTTCCCACCACTCAACAGCCAGAGCATTAGAAACATTGTGAAAAAAAAGCAGCTGTGAAAACATGCACTAGCTGCAAATAGTGTGGGTTGCATGAGAAAATCTCAGTTCTCTGATAGTTAGCATTTACATGTAACACTAACACCTCTTTCAATACAGTATAGATCATTTTAGAAGCAGGCAGTTCAGTTCTTGTAAGGAACAAGAAAAAAAAAGAAAGACAATCAGAGACAATGTGAGTTATTTGCCAGCTGCCATGTAAACCATATTAACTCTCCATTTCCCCAGTGGCGGTGGGTGGACCAAAATTTCGGTGGGGCTTAGGTTGCTTAATTCCACCTCTTTACCACAAAATGACAAGCAATAAGAATTTAAACAGTGATGGTTTTACATCATGGAAACAGCTAGAAAAGGATGCACAGGACAGGCTTCGCTGGAGAAATGCTGTTGATGGCCTATGGTCCACTTGGAGTTAAAAAGGGCAAGAGAGAGAGTGATGGTTTGGTTTTTCTATACTCAGGGAAAGCCACGGCATTTTGAGAACCATTCATATGAGAAGAGTCACCTTTGTCTTCCATCTCTTTGTTCTAAATTAAATTCTTCTGGATGGTGGGGACGAAGCGGTTTCCCCTCTAAATTCCCTCTAATTTGATCTAGATCGACATGATTACTGTTAAATCTCAGCAGCAGAAGCAAAAATTTGCGGAAACAGCACTTCAAACGAAGTCTGTCTATGAACTGGATAAGGCAGTGCAGTCGCGAAAATTATAACACACCTTACAAAAGTCCAGTGAGTGTATAGGTAACTGTGTCACTGGAGGAAAGTGTCTTGTAAACTTTTACCCCATTGTCAGGGCTAGGGAGAGCGTGAGCCCTCGGTACAGTGTTCTTTTTTCCCGAAGTCTTCTAACTTTTTTCAAGAAGAGTTTCATTAAGGACAGGCCGTGGGAATGGGCTTATCCTTTGCTGAGCCCTAAAGACTTTTGATCTTTTGATTAGCTGTTAGGTCACTATAGTTGTAAGCGGTGACAACAGTGATTGGATAAATGAGCAAGTCGCCAAGTTGATCACTATGTTCATTGTGTGTGATCCTAATGGTTTCAACTCGTTATTTTGTTATTTAAGAACTTTCATTTAATATTCAGTTGTGGGGGGGGGAGGGGGGGGGAGGCTCAAGCCCGTAAGCCCTTCACTACCCACCGCCACCGCATATCCCCATTTTTCAGTTACCCTAAGAGCATTCATAAAATACTGATTGTCCAGGAAGCATCTAAAGAACTACACATACATTATCTCATCAATGAACTACTTCATTTGCTGAAAATGCAAATTACAATGTATCTTTTCATTCCCAAACCCCCACCTAAAAACCTTTCAGTCTAGACTATACAAAGCAATTACATGTTTCAAAAATAGCCATAGAATATAAAAATTGTTTCAGAATTTGTATTTAGATTATAATACAAGAACTTCAGTTTTACTGAATTTTCCAGGTTGGGCTTAAATAGTGACAATTACGTAAAAAAAATAATGTTTTATACTTTTTGAGACTCAGATAAAAGATCACACTGGATTAACAAAAGTTGCAATCACAGAAAGCAGTTTAATCTTTACAAGAAAAAAGGCAGTTCTTTTATGTTAACTCAGTGCCATTGTGCCTACTTCATCACTACAGCAGCATAAAAAAATTTGCTGAGTGCTTCTGCAATGAGCTCCAGTAAAATACAAGTACATGTGTACATTTCAAAGGAACAAACAGCATTTCTTTTCTGCAAAACAAAACTATAACACACCCTGAAGCGCATGAGCCAGTTCCTTGAATCCTTAATTCATAGCGCAATTTTTTTTAAAAATGGAGATCGGAATTTAAACAAAATCATGCATTCAACATCCCATAGACTTTTGTATACTTCCACTAAAGTTGAGTTCTTGAACAAAAACAGCAGAAAAATACACTTCTGCCTGGACTGAAGGAAGGTAATGGAAGTAAACATTATAAATTAAATAGAGAGCTGATTAACCCTATCCGTACGTCATGTTTTACTATCATATCCATACGACGTGGTGAACTCTGAGCCACCACTTTCCAAAGAGGAAATTTACTCGTTAATCCGGTCCGTGCGCTTTGCATAGCAGTCTGTCAAAATGATTTTTTGAGAAATACTGAAAGTTTCAAGGAGATCTTCGTACTAGAACTAGAAGTATTCTAAGATGTGAAGAATACAACCCCTGGGGTACAAAATGACCCCAGGGCGTACGGATAGGGTTAAGACTTGAACACTGCAGCTTAAAAGAACAAAAAATTGTTTGAAGAGACAAAAACTGACGTGGCAATACAGTTTAAATTAACAGGAAATAATAGATAAACAAAAAGCAAAGAATAAAGGACTGTGCTAAAAAAATATGTTTACGAATAAAGAGCCCCAACATTTTGTGTGTATAATACCACTTTTTAAATCAGAAATTTACTTCAAAAGGATACTAAAGGACAGAAGTTATCATTTTCCTTTGTAAGATCAAGAAGATAATTAGGTCAAGACATCATGCTGCACAAAGTAAGGTAATAGTTGTATGACAGTAAGTGTTTTATGTACTCTTTAGTTTTAGTAAGTGTTTTATGGCACTTGCAACACAATAAGGTCATATAAGTGCCAAAGAATAGAGGAGTACAAGAGAGTAACAAACAAAAAAGAAGGAGGGGAGATAAGACGATAAGTTTGATAAGAAAGAAGAGGCAAACCACACGAGAGCACCCGCCAACCACCCACTTTATGTACTCTGAAGGAGTAGGGTCATTCAGGAGGGGAGCTGCTTCTACCCAGCCTGTCGCGGACAGCTAGAGGATACTATGAAGAAAGAATGGGGAAAAAAGGTTAACTTCCTCTCGGGTACAAAGATTGCTGCAAATAAGTCATGACCTCGACAGAGACCAACTTTAAAACCAGGAAACAGATGTCAGAAGACCATAGCAAAGGGAAGAGCAACAGCGAGTCAAATGTAGGTCACAATGAAGAGACAGATGTACCGTAGTAGCAGACACTTAATACAGTCAAATCTTCCCTAACGGCCACCTGTCCCAGACAATCACAAGTACAAATGACTTTCCCCCTTGCGTTTTTGTTAAAAATCATAATGAAATTGTCTAAGTCTAAGACGTCGACCTGTCAACCTTTTGGGTTGAACAATTTCAACTGTATATAAATCTAATATAAGACACACCTAATGAGGCACAAGACGATGAAACAAGAGTACAGACTCCAGACCCTATCCTGTATGTACTCACTGCAATCTGCATTGTGGGGAAAACTAGCTAAGTCAGCCTTACACTCTGTCATCACATAACACAAAATGCAAAACCAAAGAGAATAGAACACAAAGACTATTAGTATTTATCTGTAGCAAGGAGAAGGTACTACTGGCAGGTAGACCCACATATCAAAACCTGGGATTCAACAAATTTGTATCTGTACACAAACATGAAATACAAATACAGTAGAGGTAACTTCAACTCAAGTATGAAGCTGCAGGAACAAAATTTTGTGGGGAAAAAAAATAACTGACGAACACACAATGACCTTGACGGCTGTCTAGGTTTCCAACAAAGATTGACGCTTGTCCTCATATTAGTCTTGAAAAAAAAAGAACACAGTGGAATGAACCATTATGAATTATTCATTGAGAGAGGTATTAACTGCTTTTGTTAAGGTGCTACTTTAGCTTGTCATACTATAGTGGAATGCTGAGCAGCTAACTATTCTATTTGTATAGCAAAGTATTTAACTATTTACTTAGCATTGTAAACTTGAAGTGACACAAATGTGTGACATTGCTATTCAGTGAACAGAGCTGAGTTGCAAAAGAAAATTGTACTCTCTTGAGCAGAGATGAAAGCATGGGTGGATTAATATTTAAGTGCCAGCTTCATAAATTCCTGCAGAAAATTATAACAGTGAGCTTCATGCAAGCTATGACTGACAGCCACACAAATGTTTCACTTCAAAAACACATCTTTATAAGTGGTAATAGCAACATTGAAAGGGCAAAGATTTAAAACACTCTTTAAATCAGCTCCAAAGCCACAAAATGAAGCAATGAAGCACTGGTGCTCAAGCATCTTCAGTCATCCTGAGCCCTCCATCCCCATTTAACCCTTAAAGACCAAGAAAAAGCAGCATCAAATCACAAATTATGTAAGGTCAGATAGTTCATTATTGAATGCATGACATATATATAAACGGTTTATACATACAGAACATTTCAATTGCAATGTTTTACATTTTTTACATCATGATTACAGTCAGATCCTGGAAAAGATAATATGTGATTGAATTTTCTCTGTTGAAAAAAAAAAAATCTCATGCTTCATGGAACAACTTTCAAAAGTACATGACCGTTACTATACAGAAAAATTAACATGTTCCAATGTACATGGCATACATAAGAGTGTCAATCACTCCAGGTGCATGATTTAAAATTAGAATTTCAAAAATGCATGAAAGACATCAAAGCACTCAAGTGACGATCTTATCATCCCGTCATTCGAATCTCATATGAAATTACTTACAAACAAGTCTCCAAAACGGAAATCGGACATTTTTAGTACACTGCAAATTCGATCAAATGCATGTAATAAAAAAGAAAACAGATCCCACAGCGAAAATAATCATTGGTTTAAATCACATTTCATACAATAAGAATAAGCACTTTCACTTTCTTCCCACATCAATGTTGCATAAGAAGCATTTCAACCCACGCACAACCTTCAACAAATGTCGCATTAAATGGGTGTCATCAAAGGGAAAGTAGAAACACACAAATACATATTATATCAACAGTGATGGCTTAACAAATAGTATCATACCATACTTCAAGATTCCAGTTTCAGCGCATTAAAAAAATCGAATAAAAACACTCTGCAATGCCCTTCGCTCCAAAAGACAAAATAAAACGTCAATAAATTTTTTGCTCTTTACTATTGACACTCGGCTGCTCCCATTCCATACCTTGTTGTGCCTCCAATACAGTATTCACACAAGACACACTTTCCACGACGGTTTGAACCTCCAATGGAACAATACCAATATATTACAGTGGTGTCCACCCAACAGCAACTCCCTTGGAATTCAAGCCTTTTTGTTCTTAGGCGGAAGTTGCTGCTAAGTGAATTTTTCAAAAATGGCTAATCTGCACACCAACTCCTCCCCTCCCCCCACCCACCCACCCCCACACACACGGGTGGAGGTTGTTGTTATCTGCGTTGCTGAGAAGTGGACACCACTATACTTTAGATATGTAAGGAGAGGCCATCCGAAGGAAAACTGCAGTTCATTACAGTACAAAACTTGAAGGTAGCAGGTAATGGGAGTTTTATGCCAGGAATAACTTTCTTGCAATAGCATCTTTTCTTTTCCCCAAAACCCCTGAAAATAATATGCAGCTCAAAATTTATGCAGGACATGAAATCAAAACCTTTGACCTTAGGAGTTTATATAGGTTTAAGGGCTCATCAAACTTGGCCAAGTATACAGACATAATGTTGTCTACCAAATACCACACTGTGTGTGTGTCATGTAAGCCATTTAACTGTTTATGGTTTTGCAGATTTACAATTGCTTTTCATCATAAGTATGGGATATGGGTTTGCATTAGGCAGGACAAAGATTTAAAACAATAGAATTCATCTAATCGGAAACCATTTATCTGTAGTACAAAATAAAAGCCTTCAAACTATTTGGAATGGGTAGGGTGTTGACTTTATCCTTTAAGAAAGCTGAAAAATCAGGACCACGGGGAGCAACAGCTTCCCCAGACTCTTCCTCCATCTTATCATCAGATACTGGTCTCAAAGGCTTGCTGCTAGCATCACTGTCTTCGTCCTCGCTATCATTATCATCATCATCATCCTCAATATCCATCCAACCAGCGTCAGAACTTTCTTCCTGTTCAAAAACACTCTTCTCATTCTCCTCATCAAGACTGGAGCTTGCTTCCACCATCTTCGGCCACATGTTTTTGCGCCTGTTCTGAGCCTGATGATCATCTCCGCTAGAAGCTACGCTGCTGCTCCTCGCCTCGTGATAAGCTGACGGACCTTCAGACATATCATCTTTCAATGAGCCCAGCGACTGGTGGAGCCCGAGGTGTGGCAGGTCTTCTCCTAGAGAGCCAAAACCTGACGTCTCCGATGTATCGGCACTCGTGCTGTACGACGACTTGATGGTCTGAGGCGCTGACCCTGATGTTGAACTCACTGCCATCTCAATAGCTTCAGATTTAGCGCATGATGCTGAACTGGTTATGTCTTCCTCCGAAGACAGCGAAGCATTCCTCTCCCTTAATTTTGAGCCGGAAGAGCATGCTATGACAACTTGTGTATTATTTTCACCCTCCCATTGGGAGCTACCAGCAGCCAACATGCTCTCATTTCCGCGCACAATATTCACTGCAGTTGCTCTATTTTCGCGCTCACCATTGTCTCCATGAGACTCCTTGCTGTCATCGGCCTCTTCTTCATCATTTGCAGTAACTCCATCTTCACTTTCTATTGTAGTAGGTTCATTTCCAGGGGTTTTCAGGGACAGGGAGAAATTCATCGATACGTTTTGATTTCCATTGAGATCTTGTGTTTCTACTGCACTGTTTCCACCAAGATTTTCTTCATTATCTGACAGGTCTGAGTCAATCTCATCAGGACTCGGTTCCCTCACTCGACTTGCCAGCTTTGCACCCGCTCTTCTCAGCTCAAAGGCATGTCTCTGCAGCTGACGGTCTAGGAACTCATAGTCACTCTCTTCGTCTTCATCATCATTATCCTCATCATCGTCATCGTCGCTGTGACTGAAAGCCCCAACAATCATCAAACCCTGTGCAGTGGGCAATATATCCAGCGGGTATCGGCCCCTCTCTGGTGATAAAAACTTAGCTTTGACCCTCCGAGACTTTGAGGTGGAGACTTTTCCAGTGGGAGGCAATTGAAAGTCAAAATTCTTCCGGATGCTCTCTCTCACTGCGAGACGGCAAATGCACTGAAGAGACAATGGATCAACCTCAGCTGTTGAGAAAACAGATAAAAATAAAACAATAGTTGAGAGATCTTAAAACCATAGACAAAAACTGCATGGTAATATCAGAAGCATTTTCAGCTAAGCAACATAAAAATCAAAATGTCAACGTTTTGAGCTCTTCTTGGATTCGGACAGATTTTTATCCCCAAAGTATCAATTTTCAATAGTGAATCAAAACATATCTAGTGTCTCTTTCATATAGCAACAACCTGTTGAAAGACTAATTATTACAGTGGGCCACATTTATAACAGTCAGGTTCAGGATTTCGGCTAAAGCAGACTTATTATAAAATTATGAGTACGGTCTTTCATAACGTATAGTGAAAAAGTTCTTTTATAGCTGGAATTCAGACAGACATACTCGGCTATAACAGTGGTCCTACCATTGACAAAATCCTATTGAAAACACTCGACAAGACAGCAGAAGGAAGCAAATGAAACAGAACAGCATCCAATATGGCGAACTGCCCCGATGTGATCCACAGTAAAAAAAGGGTATTGCATCAATCCCGACTGTCCTGTTATGGCCGGGGCTCATTGTACCGAGGATCAGCAGGGTAAGGACCCCCCTCTCTACCCTTTTTTTTTTTTTTTTAAAGTAGAGGTTTCACAGCGTTCGCAATTGCATAAGGTCGTTTGAGCGCCAAGGGGTGGATGTCAACAGAGAAGTCCTTCAGACTTACTCTGCTCACCTCTCTAGCTTCAACAGCACAAAGTCTGCTTCGACTATCAAGGCAACCTGGAACTAGTGGGTCACAAGAGTGTGACAAACATACAAAAGAAGTAGAGGAAAAATTACGATAGTAAGGATTAGGAAAGAAAAAGCAGCAGTCCCCTGTCACAGTTCAGGCACAGTTATGAGCATGACATTGATGAATCAGCCCATTTACAATTACAATTCTACTGTGCATAAAAACTCGGGATGTTAATGTCCCCCCCTTTGGGGATGGCCTATAGACACTTCAGTCAAAAGCATCGCCTGGGGGATGCCTCCCTATCCGAGCACAAATTGTTTTGTAACCAGTCAAAAAGAACTTCTGTTCAGGCACAGAAAATCACAACCTAGAAACACCTTAAAATGAAAAGTTTCCATGCAAACATTAAATCTTCAATAATTTCAAATGAGAAACAGAAACACTTAAATAAAGATAAAACATGAATTTAAATGAACTTTTCCCTTCAATCTGAAGCTATATCTTCAGTCCTTTCAAATTTGTTTAACCACCCCAAAACAAATATAACATTAGCTTAATTTTAAACTACAAGCCAAACAAAATATTAGCATAAATTTTAACTACTGCACGCCAATCTTTACACTGGCTTAATTTAAAATAACTGCAAGACAAATTTAACATTCGCAAAATGTTGAACAATTACAGGACGTATAATAATTTAATAGCATTTTTAACTAGTGAAAGGCAAATTTAACATGATAAATGCTATATTAGCCCTATGCCCTGTTATATCGAGAAGGAGGGAACTGGTGAGAAATATCAATCATTGCAAGATTCTTGTTATATATGGGATCCAGTAATAAACTCAAGGGAAATAATAGAGTAGGCCTAATCTATGAGTTTGGTGTTCTGTTTATTTCTTTTTATTATCTCCCCTAAAGAGAATTTCGTTCTACAAGGCCTCTAGGTTTTACTTGATAAAAAATCAAATCAAGTTTCTTTCGTTAGCGCTAGTGATATTGACAGCTCGGTGTTGGCGATCAGACAGAAAGAGCTCTAGACTAACTGTGTTGTCCCCAACCCCACCACACCTGTGGTGCATTCCGTCTTCTGGCGTACGTTGGGTACACACCACACCCTGCCCACGTCACACATTCGCTCAATCCAACACAGCACTGTCACCTCTCCATCTCTGCATCCCCAAAAACGGAGAAGTGAGAGGCATGGTAGGCCTTGATAATTTCGACTAGGCTGGCCTATCACGCGACGTTTTCTGCTTGTCTGCGCATGCCACACCCTCCCCACTCATTAGCTCCGGTCGTCATTGTTGGCACACATGGGCTCTCCCATTCTTTGTTTCGCTAGATCACCAACAAGTTTCTCAACTGCATAGCAACAGCAATATTCCGCTATAACCGACTCGCGTGTTTCCCTGATGGCGTTATAGCAGCATTTTATTTACAAAGACAAAGAAGGGGAAAACAGGGTTTTAGAATAGTGTCTTTATATCAGACTTCTCGTTATTTCAGGACTCGTTATAAGTGGACTCCACTGTAATAAACTATGAAAACAGTGAATCTAATACTGACCTTATTTTAAGCAATTATAAGATAAATGTGTTGCAGTGTGGAGAAATCAGGCACTCGTCAAAATAACGAAATCGGAGAATCCGACATTTTGCCATCCGTTCGATAATTTTTATTGAATTTTCTTTTTTGGGCTCAACACCTTTTATACCTATTTAAAAACACATTTTGTGAGAACTTTACAGAAAAATTTTGATCAAAGGCGCAGAAAATGTAAATTTAGTTTTCAAGGACACTCAAGTTTCAAAAGTCACCAAACTTTGGCGGCCATTTTCTCACTAATTTTACCTCTGACACAAAGTGACCCCCAACGCAAATATCATCTTGACTTCTGTTCAACATGGATGGGCCTTTTTGTTCATCAAAAGCAAGACAAATGAACAGGCTTTATGAATATACCAACAACTCCATTTACCCAAACACTGACGAGTGCCTGATCTCACGTTGTGACACAAATGTGATATTTACCTGATCTTACGCTGCTAAGAGACAAATGACTTAAATAATCAAATCGCCCACACTTGTTCAACAGGTCATAATTCGAAGACAAGACGCTACCTTAGAATTTCAAAGTTCTATCTGATATTTTGGCCATTTTGAGTTACTATGACCATGAGGTCACACACCAAATGTTCTATCTGTTCAAAATCATGAGATTATTCAGAGTCGCCATCAAAATATTCAAAGAATGGCATTCAAAAATGCTTCACAAGTTGTGAAACTCAAAATTTTTAGCGTCAAATTTCTTGAAACTAGGAACAGAGCAGACAAAACTTTGTAATTCTGAGGTAGCAAAAAAATTAAGACTTACGAAGCATGATGGGATCTCCAATTTTATTGGCCGGATCAGGTAGGACCAGGGAGGCAAAAGACACAGGCAGAACACTCTCTGAGGTGAATTCTGTCTCGCTCAAGCGTCGAATTTTAAGAAGCTGGTGGGGGGTGTAGTGTAAAGGTTGTTTGTAATAATTTCTATAATAATGCAAAACTACAAAAGTTCAGAAAAATGTCATGCCCTTGTAACTTTTTTTTATGTCATACAGAAATAAAAACTTTTATACATAGTTGAACAAAAGCTTATTTAATAGTGGGAGCAACCCTCAGTTTGGCCAATTTTGGGTCAAGCTACGCGAATTAAGATGCTGGCTGATTCTTAAAGGTCAACCATTTCTCTGTTTAAAAATACCAAGTAAACAATTGAGAAAATCATTATTCACATTGTAAATTGCCTTTAGAAACATGAGGGTGGGTGGAAATGAGATGAATTTCACAATAATTGTCGTTTATCTCATACCGTTTTGTTGTTGTTGTTGTTGCAGTTTCCCCCCTACTCCTTCCTTAGTTTTCATCCCTTTGACATGAAACTTTCAGGAAACATAGATGGCATTGCTGTCATCAATGTAACACAGAGACATTTTCAAAAAATTTTAATTTTTTTCCTTTGGCAAGAGATTATGCCACCAAAATTTAGAAAAGCACCATATACATTGTGAAAATTCTCTTCTTTTTTTTTACACCTTTTCACAAATACTCTGTTACATTGATAGATAGGGCATTGTTTCAGGTATACCCTCACCAAATTTGGTCAAATTAATTGGTAAGTAAATAAGAAAGCCTTTGGGATTGACATTAATTGTTTATTTTCAAGGTGGTGGCCGTTTCAATAGTAACTGCTGTAGAAATGCAAGAGCAAAAGTACAGTCGAACCTGCCTTAACTGAAACCTGAGTAAAATGGAAACCTGTCTTAACGGAATCTCCCAGCTCCCCCCTGTCAAACGCGGAAACGGAAAGAAAAATCCGCTCCCTTCCGAGGGTTTTACCTGTCTAAGACGGAAAATGTGTTGCCCGCTCAGCCCTGATTTGAAACAAAACTCGCAAGTTTGGTTCCCCGGGAACTTTCAATGGTAGCCAGAGGCCAGAGGTGTGAAATGAGTTTGACCAATGCCTGCCGCCCTGATTGTACAGCCAGCCGAGCAAAGGGTTCCTCGAATCATTGTTACAAGGCGGTGAGGGGCGGCATTGGTTGACAGCGCTTATTACACCGACGGGTGGGGCTAAGGGTTGAAGCAAAGAAGATGTTCAAACATTTCTGATTTTAATAGGTCAAACAGTGGTCCTATGAAATGCAAGCACTGGGGGTAATTGGATAAATAAGACTGACGCATGTCATTATCAGAGAGGATAGCAGCTGAGGGGTATGAATTGTTGACCACTTGCAATTGCTTGCCGACCAGAAAAGTGACCCTTGATCCCACCAGCTGGGCCTTTGAATCCCCCCTCCCCTCCCCCTCCATCTCCCCACTAAATTCCCCTGTCTAAGATGGGATTTTTTTCTGGCTCCCTTGCGATTCTGTCTTACACAGGTTCGACTGTACATATCAAGAGATTTTTCTATGCCTAACTTATATGAAGACTTATATTTGACCTCGGGCAACAAACATAGAAAATGGACCTCGAGGGTTGCTCCTTCTGTTAAGGTTATAAAATATGTATTGAGTCGAAACAAATGTTACTGTAGGAAAAGTGCACAGCACGAAAAAAGATAGGAAAGACGTTGAGAATCCAAATTTATTTCTTATACACAAAGAATAAATTAATGTTGCATCTTTTCCTCTTTTCAAACCACCTTCAGGGCAGATTACATTTTTACTGATTAAAATGAAAAGTTTAAGGCTATGCTTTTGAGTATGTTCAAATGTTCAAACAAACACCAAGTCTGGGAGAGGGGAAAGGAGGGGGGGGGGGAGGGGAAGGGAAATTCTTAACATTAACAAAAACAGACCAGCGAGCAGCACCCACCTGATCCCCGACAGGAACTACAAGAATTCCACTGATCTTGATCATGTTCTGGATGGCTTCTTTCTGCTCCGAGGGGCACGATGCTCCGCAGTAGACACGGTCGTAGAGGCGGTTCTCAGGGGCAAGGTTCAGGCAGTTGCCAACAGCAAACTCTGGCTCACACAGTTCAAGGTCGTCAAATTTCCGACTTGCAGTTTTAAAACTGTCCAGCTTCTTCCTGGCATATGTCACATTATCTTCATGCAGCTCAATTCCGTGGTTGATGCCATAGGGACCTGTGAAAATACAACCCAGTCTTTCAGAAAGAACCTAATGCAATGCAAATCGGCTGACCTGGTCAAATACATCTTACTAAGTTTTGGGGGTAAATTCTATACAGTGTGGGGTTTTTTTGTTGTTGTTTTGTTGAGGGGAGGGGGGGGGGGGGTTGTTTGGTTTTTTTAATACATTACGTCAGACTATATCCAGTGTGTTTTGCTGACTCCTAGTATGTGCAGCCTGTATCTCTTCCTCTCTTGTGCTACTTGAGAACTCTTTCCTGCTTCATACATGGTGCGAACATTCCATGACGTAATCCGAAGAGACTTGATCGACAGAGAGGATTTCGGGTCAGGAGAGTCCTCTCAGCTTTGTCCGCTGTATTTCACTGTTCCGGCTGATACAGAAGCTCCTCCGTCTCCCAAGATGGAAAAACAAAAAGCCATGTTTGTCCATGTTTCTGTAACTGGCTGTTTTTACTGAGTCGGGAAGTTGGCCCACCGCAAACTGGCACTTTTCGGGCGACAAGACCTATGCACCTTTAGTCGTCTCTTATGACACGCAGTAGCACGGCAGGTGTATTCTTTGTTCCCCCATAGTAAAACTATAGGGTCCTCCACCTGCAGGGGCTTAATACGACTGTGCATCCTTTAAATGGTTCTGAACCACTGTTAATTTTTTTCAAATTTGAAAATTAGTTTAGTTTTAGTAAATGTTTTACGGCACTTGCAACACAATACAGATAAATAAGTGCCAAAGATTAGAGGTGTTACAAGAGAGTAACAAACACAAAAAAGAAGGAGGGGAGATAAGGACAATAAATGTTTGATAGGAAAGAAGAAGCAAACCACACCAGAGCACTCGCCAACCACCAACTTCGAAAGTTAAGTGGTCCGGAAGTTTTAGGCGACCAAGGTGAGGAACTTTCACAAATATACAGATATACATTTTCAAAAAGGAATGACTCTCCAGCTTAGGACATGAAGGCATGCAATTACAGTGAGTAGGCCTATAGGATACACCTACAAGTGTATCACTTTCACAAATTCCAGCCGGAGAACCCCAAGGCAAAAACGCAAGCTGTCACTACTAGACGTCACAGTTAAAGTAAAAGCAAGTTCACAATGGCGATGTAAATGTTAACAAAGAAACAAAACAGCTTGAAATTCAACACCCGGGAATTCTATAATGCAAGCTACCATTAACTGATCAGTCTATCACTTCATGAAATGGAGATGACAATAACTTACCAATCATAAATCCAACCATGGTGTTAAGGTATCCTGTTCCACTGCCCAGGTTTAAAAAAGACATCCCCTTCTCTAACTCCAAAGCTTCCATGACAGCAGAGTAAATGCAAGGGGCAGACATGTGAAGTGTGCCACATTTCCATGCCAGATCTTTGTAAGCGCTGTCTTTGTACTCTGCAAGATAGTAATGTGCCCGGTCGACAATCCGGAACACCCTTTCCACCTCAGACGTCTTGATGTAGTTGTCTTCCCTCAAATTATCAACCAGCTCGTCATTGTCTTGTCCAGAACTTACCGCTCCCCCCATGCCTGCAGTTTAGCAGAACGCGTAGATACAAACTGAGAAAAGGAGAGAAGTCCTGTCATACAAGAGGGCGACCTGCAAAATTTCATAAAATCAAAAATAAGTAAAAGCAATCAAAAGATGAAATAACATGAGTCTGAGAGATAAAAGAAGTTGACAATTGAAAAATACCAGTAATAAAACAGTGGGTCTACTTGAACTCTTCTCCCCCCCCCCCCCCCCCCATACACACACACAAACTCACATATAAACACAAATTCAGGGAAACAGAAAATTGACGTTATTGTTTCAGCTCGGTGTGTATGAGAATGGTACTAAAACAGCAACCCAGATAAGAGCAAGCTCTACCTAACATAACCACAGCTCGTGTAACGGAATTTTTCTAGATACAATACATTAACCTTTTTAGCAGCATACTTTTCCTCTGACAGAAACCTTTGTTGTAATAAATTGTCTGACGACAAAAATCTTTGATGATTCAAAAACAGTGTCATCACCAAGACTTACCCTTAATTTCAGTGTGCGTGAATATAAACTCCTCTCAAGTTTATCTCCACACTATACCAACTCGAGCGAAAATTATGCTAAGTATAGGAACTAAGTTCACACCATATCACGAAGAGCCACATCTTTCAAAATCTCGTCTAAAGGAGGAAAAGTCCATTGTGAGTAATACCACCCTTAGGCGATCAAGCATCACTCACTGACACTGTTTATGTTCTCACTTTCCGACATAACAACACCATCACATCAGGTGATTAGGAGTCTCTCTCTCTCTCTCTCTCTCTCTCTCTCTCTCTCTCTCTCTCTCTCTCTCTCTCTCTCTCTCTCTCTCTCTCTCTCTCTCTCTCTCTCCATACAGTGTGTATGTGTGTGAGTGTGTTGTTGTTGTTGCTACTATGTGAGTGTGTGTAAGTGTGTGTGTGTGTTTGTGTGTGTGTGTGCGCGCGCATGTGTGTGTGCATGTGTGCGTGTGCGCATGCATGTGTGTGTGCACGTGCGTGTGTGTGTGTGAGAGAGAGAGAGAGAGAGAGAGAGAGAGAGAGAGAGAGAGAGAGAGAGAGACACAGACAGACAGACAGACAGACAGACAGACAGACAGACAGACAGACAGACAAACAGGGTGTCCAGCAATATTTGCTGAAAAAATTTACTGCCTGGAAAAATAATTTACCACCCAGCAAATCAAACCCCACACCAGCTAGTAAATTGTGAAATAACTTCTCCAAGACAGAACTATCAAACATTAATAGTAAAATTATAAAATATGCAATGCATAAAAATTGTAACTAACACAGAAACATACTTTAATACACCCACAAGAAAACCTACAACTCGAGGCGACAGACCTCTTGGCCTAGCACTAGCATTACCACCAATGATTGTATAATTCATCTTTGGATTGAGACTTGCCAAAAAGCAGCATTTGTTGTAATGAGATAAAAGACACTGACACTGGATTGAGCTCAGGTGATATGTATCCAAAAAGCAGTGAGTGCACCACTGAAGACAGAAAGGAAAGAATCTCTATGCAATGAGTGGGTAGTTTTAAAGCCTCTGATCAAGTCTGTCCAAATTTTCTTTAAATCCTACTTTTGCTTTTCTACTTGATGAGAACTTCTTGATGATTTTACGTTATAGACACTTCATGAGAATACAATACCAATTACAGTCAAACCTGCCCTGATGGCCACCTCTATAAGATGGCCACCTGTACAAACGGCCACTTTCCATTTCCCCCCTTGCGTTTTTTCTATATAATTTAACTGTGTAAAACGGGCACCTGTCCAACGCGGCCACGGTCACAATAATTTAACACACAACCCTTATAATACTAAAGCAATAATACCTGTCTAAGACGGTCACCTTAGTGACTCCATTACGTTTTGTCATAAATTGTGCATTGGCTCCTGGCGTTGTGGGCGAGCCGTCATAATTCAATCACCTGTCGTTGTTGTTAGGTAGTCCCTCCAACCGATCATGTTGCGTAGGCCCCTCCCACTGTTGACCAATAGCTACCAATTTTCAGCTGCTGGAGAGGTGAGCGTGTGATTCCTCATAACCCATAAGCCCCGCCCAGAACTCATACACAAATCGTAAATGAGATGAGTGGTTACTGTTTACCCAATTTGTAACAAAGTAACAAAGGACGTCAACATGAACTTGTTACAGAAGCGTCCCTCGTTCTCCGAGTGGTGGCGACCCATGTGTTTGTTTTAACATGGCACTCGGTCTATCTTGTCTGATACATTTCGTTTTATTGTCACCATTGTGCAAAATCAGCGACAAAATAAAAATTACAAACGAAATACAAACCAACAACAACACCAACAAAGACAACATAATGGGGCTACTTTCGATTGGGACCTCAGATGGGAATGCTTTGTTTTCTTTATCTTGATCAGTCCTGCCTAAGACGGCCACCTGTCTTATACAGCCACTTTTCTCCTGGACAATGGGTGGCCGTCTTACGCAGGTTTGACTGTAATTAGTAGGGAAAAATTTTGGGCTCACACTGTCAAGTTCGGTAAGGAGGCAGCTGTTAAGCAGAATTTGTACACACCCAAATTTAAACAAAAAGGAACCTGCCAGCGAGCCAGATCAACAGGTTAACATTTTCATTTAGATGTCAGTTATAATTATCACTGTGAGCTACATACAGTAGCCTATAGGATGGGTCTGTATTTTTTTTAAATGTTGACACTTTTCATTTTTGTAAATGGGAAAGCAGATAGTCGAACCTGCCTTTGAGATCAACTCTTATAGCAGTCATCATTATTATACCAGCAGCCATGATGTATGACACCTTTGCATTTTTCCTATGTCTTTTACCTCTCTATGCATTATGGTCCCTGTCAAATGTGGCTATCGTCAGCCATTTTTGCAACACTTCTTTTAGTCAGCTTCAAAACCTACTCATAGTCTGTCATAGCGATCACATGCTTCAAAAGTTTTCCATTAACCCATCATCCTACTAAATGCAAAACTAAAGAAGCAATTTGGTTTTATTCTTTATCACCTGACTAGGCATTAAACTAGTAAGAAGGGGCAGAATTTAGTGTAGCATTTATCCAATGTTGCTAATGATATCCAAGTGTCCAATGAACTGAGCCTACTGACATTACTGTATGTTTTTTTGTGGGTTTTTTAAAAAAGTGTTTTTCGGCACTCTCAACACAAAAGGTCATATATGAGTGTGCGGGACACATTAAACAGTTTTAGTTGGTAGGAAATTTTGAATTTTGCCCAGGTGGTGGCCAAAGCCTATTCTTATCGATTTTGGACCACCAAGGGATCTTTAACATGCACAATTTGCACACAGGACCTCTGAGATTTTCGCCCATATCCGAGAAGGCTAGGTGTTTGATCTTACCTACCATAAAAGACAGCAGGAAGTAGAAGCAGGAGAAAGGCTGCAGACAGAGTCAGGAGTCCAGAGGAGGGGGCAAAAGAGGTGAGGGGATGGGGGCAGAAAGTGGAGATGAAAGCAGACGATAGAACATTGTTAGAGATAAGGAAAAAACATAGAAGAAGAACATTTTTAGAAAAGAAAATTTTCTGGCGCTATCGGGATTCGAACACGGGGCCTATTGAATAAGAGGCAAACACCCTAACCTCTCGACCACGAGAATCCCTTGACATTTATATGTGTAGAGGGTCAGGGAGGGATAGTGTCTCTGTATGGGGAAGGCCTGCCATGTCCTTTTCAGGACAGCCCTCTTTACATTGGTTCTCACCTGACACTGAACTCTCACCTGTGGCTTCACGAAGCTGAAGCATACGCAGCGGCCACACCCCGGTAACCGTTTTGGCAGGCGGGCTGAACCAGGTAGAGGGTAGCTGGTCATGTTTCGAACCCACTAATGAGTAAATTAGGGTCTGTCTCCCAAGGCATGCAAAAACTGGCTCCGGCGGACTGTGCAGACGAAACCACTCGATGGTTCAAAGGCCAGAAAGGCTGTCCCAGCAGAGCGTCGTAGAGCGCGACAAGGGCACAGTGAGATAAGAACACACTGCTGGCCATCCGCTGCCTCCTGGCCCATCTCCAGCCGTCTCGATTTTGTCGTGCCACCGGAACTAGATGGACAGGGACAAGAGAGTGAGGCTGACTACTTTGCGCAACTCTCCCTCACTTAAATCAAATTCAAGCGCAAGTCACGACTACATCATCCCCACCCTCATCATCGCCCTCATTACTTCTCAAGTCCTTCGGCGACGGACGAGTGGCCAAGCGACAGGCGTGGACACACTGGCAGTCGTAGTCACAACTCTACATGTAGGCAGTCCAGGCCTTGTGGTCGCTTTTCAGTGAATGAGACAGCACTGGAACTCGGCAGCCACTTGGGCGACGAAGCAGCCCTCTTTAGGATAGCACTGTTTCTCCCCACATCCTGGGGACGGGACTAGAAAAGGTGTCCTAAAAATTGCCTGTCTCACCCTCCCCCGGCTAGCATGCCCGCGGCTGGCAGGGGTCCCACACCAGCGGTAAGAAGAACTCAAAAAAATCTAAGACGACCATCACCTCTGGCGCATGAAATGCGCGCACCCTCCTTGACCGTTCAGGGAGTAACCGTCCCGAAAGACGGACAGCCCTCATTGCCAGCGAACTGGGCCGATATAAAGTACAGACTGCCACCCTCAGTGACTCGCCTCGTTTAAGAAGGACAACTCACAGAGCAGTCTGTCGGCTACACGTTCTTCTGGATCGGTCGTGGACTCGACGAGCGTCGCGAGGCAGGAGTTGGTTTTGCTATCAAGTCCAACCAGGTCAACAAGCTGGCAGCTCCCCCTAAGGGAATCAACGATTGCCTGATGACTGCCCGCCTCCCGCTCCCCAAGAAGAGATTCGCCACGCTGATCAGCGCTTACACACTCACTATGACCATCCCCGACGACATAAAAGGAAAATTCTACGAGGACCTAAAGAAGACCATCACAGCCGTACCCAGGGCAGACAAACTCATCTTCATTGGTGACCTCAATGCTCGAGTCAGCAGAGACCACAAGTCGTGGGAGGGAGTGTTAGGGAAACACGGTGTTGGCAACTGCAACAACAAGGGACTCCTCCTGTTGAAAACCTGAGCTGCCCACGATCTCCTCATCACCAACACGGTCTTCCGCCTGCCCAATCATAACAAGACGTCATGGAGGCACCCCCGCTCCAAGCACTGGAATCGACTCGACTATGTCATCATCAGGCACAGAGACAGACAGGATGTGAGAGTCACAAAGACCATGTGCGGTGCAGAATGTTGGACGAACCATCGTCTCCTCATCTCTAAGATGAGCCTCAGAATCACACCATCCAGGAGGCCCCAAGGCATGAAAGTGGCCAAGCGATTGAACGTCTCCAAGCTCAAGAATGATCTTATCAAACATGCGCTGGTAGAAGTGCTAAAGGGAAAACTACAACCAAGCAACATAGACCCACATGCCGAAGTGGAAACAGAGTGGGCATGTCTTCGTGATGCCGTCTATGATGTTGCCTTAGACATCATTGGCTCCACTACCGGCAAGCACAAAGATTGGTTCAATGATAACAGCTGTCACATCCAGATAATATTAGAGGAGAAGCACCGACTCCAAAGAGTACTCCTCAATTACCCCTCCTCCACCTCAAAGAAAGAGAATTTCAATACGGTCAGGAGGAAAGTACAGTACGATCTACGACGACTATGACAAATGGCTCAGTGAGAAGGCCGACGTCATCCTGGCCTACTCAGACAGGAAGGACATGAAGAACTTCTTCAGTGCTCTCAAAGCCATCTACGGACCCACCTCGTCAGGGCAGTCCCCTCTCCTCAGCGCAGACAGGGGCACGCTGATAACAGACAAGGAGAAAATCCTCGAGCTCTGGGCACAACACTTCACGAGTGTCCTCAACAGACCATCATCCTTCAACGAATCAATAGTGAAGACATTGAAAGACTACCACAAGTGCCAATTGACAACACTCTGGCAGACCCAACAACAGAAAAAGAAGCAATGCTCGCCATCAAACGCCTGTCCAGTGGCAAGGCACTTGCAGGTGCTGACTCCATTTCAGCTGAAATCTATGCTTCTGGAGGCCCGACACTAATAGAGAGACTGACAAGCCTGTTTACCTCCATGTGGTTACAAGAAAAGCTGCCACAGGAACTCAAAGACACTTCGATTGTCCACCTTTACAAGCGCAAAGGAAACACGAACACCTGCTACAACCACCGAGGAACCACCCTGCTCTCCATCACTGGGAAGAGTCTGGCTCGCATCCTGCTCAATCGTCTCGTTGCACACCTGGAACGTGACCTGCTCCCTGAGAGTCAGTGTGGATTCTGCGTGGGATGCAGTACTCTGGACATGATCTATGCTGCTCATCAACTATAAGAAAATAGCCAAGAGCAGAACTTTGGACTCTACTCCACCTTTGCAGACCTGATGAAAGTATTTGACATTGTCTGCCGTGAAGGGCTGTGGAAGATCATGGCAAAGTTTGGGTGCCCCGCAAAGTTCTTCGTGATGGTCCAACAATTCTATGATGGCATGACAGCAAGAGAGCAGGACGGTGGCTAGTACTCCCATTCCTTCCCCTTCACTAATGGAGTGAAGCAGGGCTGTGTGCTGGCCCCCACTCTGTTCAGCATGATGTTCTCAGATATGCTGACCGATGCCTACCACAACGGAGATATCGGTGTCGATTTTCGTTACCGCACAGATAGAAAACTTTTTATCCTTTGGAGGCTGCAGGCGAAGACCGAAGTCCATGCAGGCATAGCCCACGATTTCCTCTTTGCGGACGACTGCACGCTGAAAGCCAGTACTCAGTCAGACATGCAGGGAAGCCTGGACAGTTTTTCCAAAGCCTGCGAAAATTTCGGCCTTATTATCGCCACAAAGAAGACCGAAGTACTGTACCAGCCAGCCCCATTGGCTCCTTACATAGAGCCCCAATTTACCATCTATGGTCGGAGACTAGCAGTGGCAGATAAGTTTGTTTACCTTGGCAGCACTCTCTCTCGCTCGGTCAGTATCGATGAGGAAGTGGCCTACAGAACTGTCAGAGCTAGTTCAGCCTTCAGCAGACTGAAAGACAAGGTCTGGGAGCCAAGAGGACTGAGCCTTTACACGAAGCTCAAAGTGTATAAAGCAGCAGTTCTACCATCCCTGCTCTACGCCTGCAAAATGTGGACAGTCTACAGCCGGCATGCCAAGCAGCTCAATGCCTTCCACATGAGATGCCTCAGGACCCTGCTTCGTACCAAGTCCCAGACACTGAGGTAATACAGCGGGCCAAGACGGAGAGCATACGCTATCCTACTGCCCTCTCAGCTCCGGTGGGCCGGCCACGTTCACCGTATGGACAACTCTGGCCTCCCAAAGAAGTTACCCCACGGTGAACTAACCTAACTCAAGGCAAATGTTCTCTCGGCAGGCAGAGAAAACGCTTCAAAGATGCTCTGAAAGCATCCCTGAAGAGTTGTGACTTTCCCCATACCACCTGGGAAGAAGCTGCTTGCAATTGCACAGCTTAGCGCTCATTAGTAAGATCGGGAGTCGCCAAGTTCGAAGAAAGATACATCAGAAAGAAAGAATGGAGACGGCAGCAGAGAAAAGACCGAGAAACCCCTACCTTCCAGCCTAGTCCATCCCCAACCATCCCCTGCCCCCACTGCAACAGACATTTCCGAGCGAAGATCGGCCTGATCAGCCATCTCCGGTCACACCCCACCCCTCCAGTGATGTGAAGTCAAGGTCATCTTTGTCAGAGAAGGAAGAACATCATACGTGACACTATGGTGACTATACATGAATTAATGTGTCGTTGGTCTGGTTTTATTTTATTCATGGACCCATCTCAAGATATTTTAAAGCTTTTTTCTTGCTATTCAATTTTCAGCTTTACATAAATTTTGACTTATATCCTCTTCAAATTATTAGTTTTATGAGACTATGGATATTTTTTTATGAACTTTTTTTTACAAATATAGGACCAATGGCGTAGCAATTGACTTTTTAACAACATGGGGGGGGGGGGGGGTTCAGGGGTATAACCTCCTGATCTAAAAAGAATCTGGGGGATTTCAGGGGGGTAGGGGGAGGGATGTGCTCATGCATTATACCATGATTTGATGTTTCGGCAATTATGACTGATTTAATTTGCAAGTAATTAGCCCTCCAAACAGTGCAACTGCATGCAGGTCTAAAACTAAAATTTAAAAATGACCGTTGGTGGTTTACATGCAGGCCCTCAATGAAAGTTTGTTTTCGTAATGACTATTTTTAGCCCAATATAATACAATTTATAATGTTATTATATATTTATGTCAGTATTGTAGCCTGCGATCATGACTTAGAATCTGCCTATCTATGCCATAGCGGTCACCTGTCCATAACAGTCATTTTTCTCTGTGATCTAGAATGAAAAGGACAGGTTTGACTTTTGTGTAATTTTTCCCCTCTAAATATTTATAAACTAAACAGTAAACACCCAGCTCACTGGAGAACTTGCCTTACTTGGAATGTTCATATATATGTAACACAGAGTAAAGTAAAAAATTCACAGTAGATTCAGAGCAGCGTTGCAGAGCACAGAAATTTCATTTATCATGAACACCTCGTCCCATGACCATGCTAAGCAAGCTGTACCTTAGCCCAACCCTCCCTGAGGGATGTTAATAAAAACACACTCCGTAATAATAGTGACTGAAGTGCGGAGACATTTTGCTTCTTGTCGGTCAAGCGATTGTGCCTGCCTGTACTTCGCCCAAATTTCGCTGGGACCTGCATTGAATTGCATTGCCCCTTGTCATTCTTATGCCTTAGGGTGAAAAAAAGAAAAGAAACGAAAGGGGAACAATTAGGCATGCAGACAAAATATAGACCTTTGTATTTGTACGTCGTCCTCGGCTGAACAAAGAAAACAAAAATATCACCGCCGTTGCTCTGCGTTGTTCCACTTGGACTTGGACAGCTTGCTAACCTATCAGCTGAGCTTAGAAAACCAAAACAACAACAAACGATGACGTCACTTATTATATTAACATATAAACAATTTTTTTTTAATTTGTGCTGTTTAGGAAATTTCTAAAGCTGAAAACTGATTTTAATACAGCCACATTCTTATATATACAATAAATAAAATGTTACAGAATACTTTAGCACATAACGTTCATTCGAGGTTTGTAAACTGAAATGAATAGCCTAGACGTGCTCTTCTGATTACCTCCCCCCAGCAACCTGATCTCGGGAAGGAGAAACCTTGATATTGTTGGTAATGAAAATTTATCAAATATTTTACTCTCAGACTGTCATTGATTGTTTGTTTCCACTTGCTTCTGTTTGAAATGAGGTTTGTTTTGTACTTTGAAAGCGTTTTCTCACCTTGAAAGCAGGTTGCATTTCAGATGAAATGAAAAAACTACGCATACCGAAACGGGAAGTTGTCTTTTCTCATGTTTTTCCATCAACTACGCGTATTGGCATTGCCTGTCAGCGGACACCGCCTAAGACATACATGATGCAAAGAAGTGTTGTTGACGACAAAACATCAAGACTTTTGGTTTAGTTGTATCGCGAAGTGAGTTCCATTTAAAGTAACGCTTTGTTTTTCTTTTGACTTGTTTACGTTTCTGAGGGCCGCATATTATTACCCTAAAGTTATTTTTTCTAGATCTAGATTTTCAGGTCCATCCACGAAAACGAGGCCATATTCCGCGTTTTCAGTTTTCTTCAGTTCGGTGCGGCAAAAAAAAAAAAAATTAAATAGAATCTTAAATAATGCTTCTATCAATGCGACACGAATGCGTGAGGTATACAGAGTACGAACTGAAAGAAAAAATATTCAGCAAAACAGATAGCACTATGCTGTGAAAGTAATATTCTATAACTTTGTTGGCAAAGACCAACTTGTTATTTTCTTTTCCCCCGTTCAATCAAAATCTCTCGTCTCTCGGTCTCTCTCAAGACTCTTTAGAGAGGCAAGGGGCCTAGCTTAGGCCTTAGTTTGATATTTGATTGACTTAGATCTACTGGCGTATTGATATTGGTTTAAACATTTTAAAAAACACCACCAAACAACAAACCTCCCAAAATTCAAATAATATATTTTCTAAATAGATCTAGAATCCAGAGAGGTCTTTTATTCTTGAGGATCTAGATTCTAGATCTAGATTTAGATCTATGCAAGCAATGGCAATGTAAAAGATACTCATACTGTAACTGTAATCAATTCAAATTCAGTTTCAAGTTAGGCTCCTATTGTGCAGGTGTAGATATCTAGCTTCTTCAACTTCAACAGTTGCTCGCCTGTCTAGGCCGCCTCTAGATCTAATGGTAAAGGCAAAGGCTTTTTAAATTTTCGGTTTTCCTGTTAAACCTGTTATCGTTTAATTTTAATACATTTAATTATTTTATTTTCAGATTTGCTTAGGGCGGCGGCCTAGATTAGATCTTTCTTAATTTTATTTTCATTTTAATATATTCGAATGTTTGTTGACCTTTGGGCTTTTTGCCTAGCCTAAATTCCCTAAATTGTGCATATATATATGAATTTTGATATAAAATATATGTGTTTGTGTCATTGATTCTAATAAAATATGGGGTGCCCATCTCAGATGGGATCGGCAGGTCAGTCCGATCGCCCGACTCAGTCGCCTTAAAGGCAAATGTGTTTGAATTTCAGTTTCATGCGACCAAGTAGGGCGATCAGCCCGATCCAGCGTAATGGGCACCTGGTATTAAATAAACTCATAGAAGTTGTGTTTAGGATCATCTGTCTATATGCTTACAAAGGTAAATTTTTACTTTCACTCCAGCACACAGATGCACTGCTTCGGGGATCAAACTACAGTAGTACTGTTTGCTGCAGATCACACATAAAGCCACTAAAACTGTCGCAAATCAATTATTTTCAAGAAAATTTCAATTCTAGATTAACAGTAAAATATCAAATTATGGGTTAAAACAAAGGGGGGCATGCCCCCCTCTAACCCCCCAGATTTTGTTTTACCCCTGGGGGCAGGTCCCCCTGGAGCCCCCCCCCCCTTAGTTCAGAGCACGTCTGTCTCGATCAAGAACAATCAAATATTTGAAATACTTTTAATTTGGAACGGTAATGAAGTTGATATTTGTGTTCAGCGCATCAACATTTAGTAGAAATGGACTACTGGTAGCTTAGTGTGAGACGGGAGGGAAAGTAAAAAAATACCCTTACAAAAGTAAACAGTACTACTGCCGTTTAGAGGTAGAGTGATGTAACTGCATTTCATGGTTTTGGAAAAAAAACTTTTAAAAGTTTTTAAAAAACGCTTTATTAATCTAGAGATCAATCAACAAACGAAATCATTAAAACTTTAAAAACTCCCTTTTGTCTATAATGCGTCCCCCTGCTATCTATTTTTGTCGTCTTCCAGGGTTTCCTGCGCGAGTTGACTATAGCTCGTTCACTTTCGTCGGACCGCAGTTAAAACGGAATATAAAAACAAATCTCTCTGTTTAATCTTTCTGGGTCTTTGCATGCGGCTAAAGTTGAGCGACCCAACAGAATCTAAAAGGCCATTCATAAAAGTCGCTGCAAAGTAACGTTCTTACGCGTTTTCTTCAATGTAAGCCAAAAGCGGGTAAAAAAATAATAGGGGAACAGCACACACCTAAAACATTAAAAATTGACATATTTTCCTGAACACTGCTCTTTAATGTTCACCTAAGAAACACAATTCAAGAGACGGGGTGAGTATGTTACTTCTTAAAATAATAATGTCATTTTAATCAAAATTATTTTTTAAAAGTTACGTTTATGGTAATCCCGGTGAAAATTGTATTCTAAGGGAAAGTTTTAAAGAATTTTTTAAAATGTAAGATTCAATTACAGCTATAATTGAAAGTTTTATTATTTTTATAATCGATTAAGAAAAAAACTAAATATATAATATCATAGAGATATTATCCTTTGATGTATTTTTCTCTTGATTCAAGCAATCAAAATATGGTATAATTTTGTATAAATGAATGACACTTGTCTTTGGGGGGGAATATAAAAAGTAGAAGATGGTAAGAAGAGAGACTAGTCTATACAACTAATAGAATGATTAGAAAACTAAGGAAATGCTAATTTGATTGAAGACTGCATTTTTTTTTCAAATAACTTGGATCAAAATAAAGGTGACAAGTGTAATTATAAGTATGAATATATATAAACAGGAAAGGGTGTTTAATATATGTATCTAAATACACCTCTATTTGCCTTGTGTGTAAGTGTGTATTTGTGTTTATATAAATGCTGAGTGGATCTATCAGCGTACCTGTGTATGCATGAGTGAATCTTCCCGTTCCTTTGTTCATGTATGTGTATGTGGATGTATGTTTGTCTGTGTGTGGGCTTGAGAATATAACATACAAAATAGCAATTAAGATCATTATTACTATGGTGATGAATGAATAATAATATAATGGGTAATAGATCTAGTCATCTCGCGAGGGAAACCCCGGAAGACGACAGCTAGATGGCGGAAATGCATCAACTATATTTGGGCCAATCATAGAGGTGTGCTCGGTGCTTTCTATCTATTGTTTGTTTGTTTAGTATAGGGTTTTACGGCACTCGCAACTGCATACGGTCATATGAGCGCGCGGGACACACCTAATACTTTTTCGTTGGTAGGAAATTTTGAATTTTGCCCGAGTGGCGGCCGAAGCCTACTCTTATCGATTTTAGACCACCAAGGGATCTTTAACGTGCGCAACTTGCACACGGGCCCTCCAAGATTTTTCGCCCTTGTCTGAGAAGGCTAGGTGGAGATCTTTCCTACCAGAAGATCAGGGGTGTGGCAGAAAGACAGCAGTTAGGAGGAGCCAAGGAGTAGCAGTAGAAAGGCTGCAGAAAGAGTCAGGAGCCCAGAGGGGGGGGGCAAAGGAGGTGAGGGGGTGGGGGCAGAAAGTGGAAATGAAAGCAGACAACAGAACATTGTTACAGATCAGGAAAGGATGTGAAAGGAGACAATTTTAGAGAAGAAAATTTTTTGGTCGCTACCCGGAATCGAACCCGGGACCTTTGAATGAGAGGCCAACACCTTAACCTCTAGGCCACGAGAGCCCCCTTTTCTATCTATAACTTCATGCAAAAAAGTACTTATATTATTAAATAAGGTATAAAGAATTTCTCAAATACACAGTCTTGAACGCACGCATAGTGAACAGATCCTCAGGTTCCAAGTTTTTTCTTTTCTATTTGCCTATTCTTTGTATCTGATACAGGTACATAGCGAAATTCATACAGAACGAATCCGCCTAATTTCACTCTTGTGTGTGCTAGACTCACTGTAGTAATTTTCACCCTTGGATTGTACTGCCATTTATGTAGTTTATCTTTGAGAATTGAAATGGTGAGACAGTAAGACATTTCAGATTGATAAAACTTTCTTTGATTTATTATCGAAACCGGATTACTTCTTTGCAGGATAAAGGATCTTGTTTTCCGTGTCAGTGGAACTTAACCTCGTGCCGTCTGCCCTTATGCTGTAGAAGTCTTCTACTACAATAAAATGGCCGACGAGGAGAAGCCATTTGGAGAGCCTGCTGCAGGAACCAGTGCAGTGGAGTTGGCGGCATCCTCCCAGGCTTCCGTCCCACAAGGTTCTGTCTCTGTAATCAGCAGTACCACGATGTCTGGCTCGGTGTCTCTCACTCAGACTACCGGTGCCCTCCCTACCCCAGTGCCCTCAGCCTCCACAATGACCAGCTTCCACTTGAGACCGCATCTCATTTCTACGCCGTTTGGTCTACGGTTGGCTAATAATGCTGTAGCTGTCCCAGTGCAGACGACCACGGCTCAGGTACTGTTATTGTCTTAGTAATTCAGGTCTTTATTTACGTGATTGGGCTTAACCCATTGCACCCGAGCTATGAGTATTGCGGGCTTCCGTCCACCGAGCTACGACAATAGTCATAGCAAAATACCAGTCCACAAAATTGAGTCCAAATCACTTATCCAGGTTTCTTTTGAAAATTATAGGTCGCTTGTAGCTTGTAAAAACTTTTGCTAGCTTGTTTTGATTCATTTTTTCGCCAAGTACAAGTTAGTTTTGTTTGTTTTGTCACCGCAAATCATGGCAAGAAAGCGAGCATTTAAATCTTCATGGACGAGCAGAAAGAGAAAACAACAGTGCCACGGCTATTTTTTGTGTTTGTTAAAATACATGATCCATGTTTTTAGTTTGTTTTAGGCACAAGCGGCAAAGAAAGTGAAAGTAAACATAAATCTAGAAAAACAAGGCGATCGGATTGATTTTTTTGCCTTGAAAACTTCAAAGAAAAGCTAGATCTAGACCATAGATTTACTAAAAGTTGCTATGGGTAAATTGAGTGCCGTTGGGTTGCAGTCGGAAAAAGAATTTATTGTTTTCTCTGCTCTTTCCTTTCTCTCTCTAATGATTTTAAAAGAACATTTTAAGTAAAGTCTAAGCAAAATTTCATAATGCTATCTTGAATAGTTTGGGCACAATGTGTGTCTAAGGTTAGTGTGTCGAGTTCAGACAGGCTTTTTCCTCGCGGCTAGCCCGCTGGACACAAGTGCACTGCCCGCAGCAACGGAGGGTGAATTGGGATTAAAAGCTGGTATATTTTACGTAGACAACTTTTTTTTTGCACCTTTTTAGAAATCCCAGTGGGGTTTTTTTTTTATACCTGTGTACAGATGTCAAAGAGGGTTTTTAATATATATTCAATCTTTAATTCTGTCTTTACTCTGCAATAGAAAATTAGAGGATTCTCCGTTTAAATGTTTATACAATGACCTGGGATTTCTTGCAAACCTTTTTACATTTAGTTTAATTGTCACATCTAAATTAAAAAGATATGAGCTGTTCTGGACCTTGGCATGTTTTTTAACTTAATTGTAATAAATACACTGGTAATGTGCAGAGGGTATAGAAAGTGTCTGTTAATTTTCAAACACATCACCTGTATTTGAAATAAATTGATGCTTTTAAACTAAATAGCAAAAAGTTTGTTGTTGGTTCTCAGATTTTCCCATTACCAACACTATTATCATGTAATTTTACTTTTTTCAACCTCCTCCTTCGCACCTAGTCTAATTCAGATACCTGTAGATGGAAAAGTTGTTGGGGGTTTTTCTCCCTTGCAATTCAATTTGAAACGGACTGGACTGGAGTCCTGAATGGTAAAATACATGTTTTTGTAATTGAAACTTTTTTCCTGTGTTAATAATCCAGGCTCTGGCTGTCAGTTCTGGAGCAGGGGGTGGGAACGCTGGAACCAGTCTGCAGGTTCCCAGAGCTGGAATCCCATTGGTCAGTGCAGGCATTAGCTCCAGTCAGCTCGCTGCCTTTCAGCCGCGGGCCACGCCTCCTGGGTTTCCTCAGACAATCCCCATATCATCCACCATCGTAGGGCAACCAATGACTCTGCAGCGACTGCCCGTGAAAGGTGAGAGCAGGACTTGAAGCATTAACCCTACAAACCTGAGAAAACACTTTTACCTCATGAATGAAAAGGGGTCCTGTATGCTTATCAGGCGAGGACCAAAAGGGTCCAGTCACAAGTGTCTTGTCAGCTCTGTCGGTCATGTGATATCAACTTCCTATTAATAAAAGAACTGGCATGTATTCAAGAGACAATTATTATTTATTATTATCATCATCATTATTCATGATTATAATAATTACTATTATAATTATCTCCTTGTTTACATCATTACTGTGTCTACAGGTCAGCCAATAGCTGTTCAGCGTTTACCATCTGGTGCAGTGGTCACTATTGCCAATGGCCAAGTAATCAGCCTGCAGCAGTCTTCCAGTCCTGGACGTCCCCAGTCTCCGCGGACAGTGTCACAAATTGCCGGCCAGCCCCGACCGGTCCTCACGTCTGCCTCACTGGGACAGCAGCTGACCAAGCAGCCTACAGCGACCATAGTGAACGTGTCACAGGCACAGCACATCGGCCTTCGCATACCCACCCCGTCATCGCAACAGGTGACCATCCAGCGGATGATCAATCCATCCTTGGCTCAACAAGTGTCAGGCCAAAACTTTATCCAGCGGATGCCAAATCCCAATGTCCTCTCCCAGCAAATTAACAACAATGCCACCAATATAGGCCAGCCTACAGTCATGAGAGCCGCTTCTCCGATGGGTACTGCCACCATCCTGGCCGGTCAACAAATCTCCATTCAACCCCGCCCGTCCGTTGCGACGTTCATATCTGGCTGCCCAACCTCTGGCATCACGTTGACTGTGACATCGGTCTCACCGAGCCCCCTCAGCGTCCAGACGACCTCGTCAACAATGCCCGTCGGTCAAGTACCGGTAACCCAGAGCCAGGTCCCTCAGGTGATCCACCGACCGGGTTTTGCCGGGACTCCAGCCCAGGTGCTACGCCCTGGTGTGCCAATTGTTCTGTCTCTCTCCGGGCGCCAGCAGGTCTTGCAGAATGGCATGCCACGACTGCTGCACAAGGCCAGTCCATCTGCGGGTGTGGCCAATGTAGCGGCGACTGTGTCTGTTCCCGTTCCACAGTTGATTTCTCCGAACTTGAAACCACAGGCAATGGTGAGTACCATTCACAATGTTTTAATCAGGTTATATATGCTAAGGAATCACAGAATATTGAGATGTGAGCCCAGTCATAGGACTTAGTAATGAAGTATAATATGTGATACAAAAAATTTGCTTAACTTTTGGATCAATTTTAATGTCATTTACGTAAACTGTCATTACTGTATAGGTAAGTCAAATGGAGTGAACTATGGTAACGAATGTAAAAACAACTTTTTTAAAACAATGTTTTAAGAATATATGAACAATGAACCACGGTCTTTGGAATAAACGTTATGGCAGCCAAGGCCCTACACTGCAATAAGTTCACCAAATAATACGTCATGACATTGATGTGCATTTGAGAGCGAACTGGCTTTTTTTTTACACAACCTTCACTGGTACCTGCAATTATGGATAAAAAAAGCTCACATTGCTTTCGAAGAGCACTCGGATTTCATGGAAATGAAGATCAGTTCTGACCACTTTGTAGTATCGCTGTTTTGAATTTTAACAAAGAACTGCCGAACATTACCAATGCAATAATAAAAACAATTATACTTCGGGGGGGGGGGGGGTATAAAAAAATGTGATATACAAGACAGACGTCTTCTTCTGATATACAAGACAGACGTCTTCTTCTGAATTCAGTGATTATTTTGTATTAAATTAAATTATTTAGACATGTGCAAGCTCTTCAGTTGTCATAGATCTCTCTCTCTCTCTCTCTCTCTCTCTCTCTCTCTCTCTCTCTCTCTCTCTCTCTCTCTCACTCTCACTCTCACTCTCACTCACACACTTCCTCACACGCTCAATATTTCTCCCTGTGCAGTTACGGAATGGGCAAGCTGCAGGAAATGCTGTTGTCCAAGCTCGCGCTCTGGCTCCGGCTACTGCTGGGGTCATGGTCACACCTTCTTCATCCACTCTGGGGACAACTGCGGGAACGGTTGTCATGGCAGCCAGTACTCCTGTGGTGGCTACTGTCACCTGTGCGTCCACTGAGTTGACCACCTCCACTGCCATATCATCGGTGCGTACACTGGTGAAATTGTTCAAGACAGCCTGGTACACGTTGTTGAGGAGTACAGTGGATGTCTTGGACAGTTTCATTATAATTCTTTTAATGGGGGTTCATTTGTACAGGTGATTCTCTTGGGCAGGTGGTCATTTGAGTAGGTTCAAATGTATTTTGTTCTCGTACGCCAAACACATGTAAAGATGGGTTGCAACTATAAGAGTCGATGCTAGTAGTGTCAGGACTTCTTATGGGTGCCGGGTGCCACATTATAACTTGAGAGCATAAAATGTTATAGACTCGCTTGACTCTTGTCACAATTATTAAACGGGTATGAATTAGACTGGTTTGAAAATGTCACTCTTGTGCCTTTTATTTGTTGAAAGCCTTCTTATTTAAAAAAAAGAAAGATTAATACATGTTTTGAAATATACAATAATTTTTTTTTCCTCTCTCAGTTTAGTTCAGAAATATGAACATAACGATTTGAGCATTAAAAATAGTCCTCACAACTCTTTTGTCCATTGATGTTTGCCAAAACAAAAGTAAAAAGGCATATTTTGGCTTACATAAGATGGATAAAAGGTTTGAAACTTTTTTGTTGTTGTTGCTTACAGACCACAGCAAAATAACAATGTGCACTGAAACAGGTCTATTACGTTTTGTTTCAGACATCAGAACAAGATGTTTCAACAAAAGTCTCTAGCGTCACTGGAGTGACCATCAGCTCTGCCGCCATCAGTGATCCGAAACCTGCATCATCGACAGACACTGTCCCAACTGTTTCGAGTCCTCTCGACTCTTCAGCAAATCTTTCCACAGCCTCGGTCCCCAGCTCACATATGGTCAGCACCATGCCCACAGCTGTTGTGACCCCTGATCTTACAGTTTCCTCCGTGAAGAATCAGCCAACTAGCACAACTACAGTCTCGTCCTCGGGACCAGTTTCCAGCACTTCCCCGTCATCGTCCAGTGTCACCACTGTCAGTAAAGAGGAAACTGCAGCTGCTTCTGCAGCCAGTACTTCCGTGTCTGTATCTGGACATGAGGGCAACAGCAGCTCGGAAGTTGATCAAGTGAGTGTGGTTTTTTATTTACTTCATATTTCTGTCATAATCCGGTGCCCAAATGTCAAGTGAGTTCAGACTCACAAAAACATTAGGCAAGTATCGGTGACACGAGGTTAAGATAGATGGTCACTGGGATGTGTTCTTGAAAGAGACACAAGAACCCTGGCTTATAAAAAAACAAGGCACTGCACAGTGGCAACCAGCAGTAGCATATTTGTAAAATTGCTCTGCAATGGTGTTATTCTTTGTATGTATATTGGTCACGGCGTCACTTTTTGCCCGATTCTGTTACTTTTAGTTCGCGTGACTCAGCAGCCCGCCGGAGCTCCCCGGCTCGGGGTCACGGGGTTAATGAGCCCTGAGGCGACTTTGCCGGTGTCGGATAGGAAGTTCGCATTTTTGACTATGTCTAAAACGATATAACTTCTTCCCCATCCCACATAGCATACCATTACGCGGATGTACTAAAAGCTCAATGTCTAGAGATTTATTCTGCGTTAGAACGGTTAATTTCTGTGCCTTAGTTTTTGTTCTAGGCAAGTCTTTGTAGAGTACCCAATTTGTCCTATTCTAGTTACAAACTTATGAATAAATGATTGTTAATTTTAAAAAGGCACGACAGATCTCTCCAAAATCTGTGTTAAACTGACTACGAATATCATGTCTTTTACCATGAGAAATCTTAAATCTGCGCTAGTAGAAATAGTCAAGTTATTAGAGAAGAAAGATGCACATCTGCATTTTTAAACTAAAGATGATCAGCGTTAGCTCTTATTTTACTATTAAACAAGAGAAAGTTGCTCTGCGTTTGTTCATGAATCACGCTGTGTCTGTTGCAGCCTGCATACAACTAAAAAGATATAATATAGAATCTAAGCAATTAAAAAAAACACAAAACCGTGTAAATACATGGGTAGAGATAAACTTCTTGTATGGAATAAAAATAATGACAAAAAAACATTAAAAACATTCATTCTTAGTTTTTGTGTCGGAAATATGCGTGGACACAATTATGAATGTAAAGAAATCAGTCACATTGTCAGTTATTGCAAATGGTCATAGAAACGAAAAATAAAGCAGGAAAAGTCTGGTGCTAATTCAGTGTCCCTGGAAAGCTAGAAATTATTCTTGTAACCCAATTACGAGAAGTCATCCCTATTATTCAGTCAACTTACAAAACCTACACTTAGCGTTTTAAGAAAAGTAATGAATTTCTGGAGTGTAACAGATACTGTTCGTGTATTAGATCTACATTGAAGATGTATTCTAGAACTAAAATCGATTTGTACTTTTTATAGAAAAACTTCAAGGTGACTTTTATCAACTTTCGAGAAAATATGTGAATATTCACGATTATATTAGACACATAAAGTTGAATTTGGAGGAATAAATTCATAGGGAATTGTGTGCCTGATGGATAAAGTTGCAAAATTACAGCTTTCTATTATAAGCGCAGATATCATCTTTTCTGAGTATCTGCACCAAAGCTATGTCGTTCATGTTCCAAAAGTTCGACAGATTTTGATGATGCCTTTTTTTTATATTGATTTTTTTTCATTCACGCTAGTCCAAAAAAAAATACAAATTAGCATTGCCGACTCCAGCGCGTCTAACGAAATAACTAGACAAGTTACAACGTCCGTTCTTTTTTGAGTCTCAAGAGCAGAAATGCCTGCTTTGGGTGCACTAAATGAGAATTACCACAAATACAAGGATACACCTTAAATTGTACGTTGAAAAGTACCAAAAATTAAGTCGGCCCAGACAGAGCGGCGACAGGGAGCTGACCCCTGTGACCCCGACGTGATAAGGCGCCCGGCAGGGAACCCCCCGCGGCAACTAAAATTCCACTGCCGGTGCGCCGTGTGGTGTGTTTAATATGTTTGCCATTGTAAAATTTCCTCATTGGGATCAATAAAATGTAACTTTTAAACTTTTATTTATTGATTAATTAATTTATTTATTTACTCAAACCGGGAGAGGCTAAGAAGTGTAAATTGTCTGCTGTCCCATCTCCAGGGAGCACCGCAAAAAATTTGTTTTATAGGAATTTTATATGACTCGGTACACTGGTTTTTGTACAAATCAGCCTTTCAGCATTTAGTGTACGGGGTAAATAATAGTTGTAAAGCGCCTAGAGCATCCTGTAAATGGTTGATATGTGCTATATAAATGCAATTATTACTATGTTTCAGATACCTGTAAGTGCAACAGATACACCTGCTCCTCCCAGCTCATCAGCCAGTACTGCCGAAGTAGAGAAAGGTCGCAACACTGCGGCGGACCCCAAATTTACGGTGACAGTGACCACTGTGGAGCCTTCTGTTCTAGATGTGCCATCGTCAAGTGAGACAGGGGCTGGTGGAACCGATGCAGTGAAAATTAATGGAGGCAAGTTTTCTCCTTTTTCTTTTTGGAATGCCTTTTATATTTGTTTTGTTCCATATATGCTCACATTTAACACGCAACCTTAGATGGGGGGGGGGGTGTATGCCTTGACTACAAAATCAGCCTGTTTTTGTTTTTTTAAGGTCGCGCATATAATACAGAGTGTATTAGTGACATGCTGGATGGGGCTCAATATGGGTGAACTCAAGTACTAGTCAGGCATTTAGTCTATAGTGATTTACATTTGAGAAATTTGGTTGCTGCCTTGAGATTGGTTTAATCTGTGAGACAGGAGGGGCATGTCATCCACCAAAGACATCAGGTTTTTAATAAAACCAGGTCAGTGGAGAAGATAATAGTACAATGGCATTACTTCCCCTTTTCTAATATCTGACCTGGTCCTAGTCGTATGTCACTAATTAATAAGGTAGGTGTACTTTTGAACCTCTTTATTTTTTATATCTCTTGTATTATAAAAGAGTGCATTTATATATTGAGAACTTGAAATCATGGACAGCTCGCTCAGTTTGCCATTTCCTAACCGATATCTCTTTAATTTTCGGTCACTGGTCAACCAGAATTATGGGTTTGTCAAACACATTTGTCAATCCACGATATGCTTGAGTTATCAGTGCTCGACTGTGTAGTTACTGATATTGTTGTTACCACTCCCAGATCACACTGAGTCTGTGCCAGTAATGGCTAGCGCCAGGGCTGAACCGGAGGATAGTGAAGGTGTTATCTTGACCGAGGGCTACATTGACTCCAATCTTCTGGAATGGACAGATGGAGTCGGTTCTCTACCTGGCACTGACATGAAGGTAAGCACTAGCCCTAGTCAGAGGTGCAAATTTTTTTAACAAATCCGGAAATTGTTTTCTAAAATTGTCCAAACTTTGCTCGATTTCTAGATAAAAGATGTGCATGGGACAGTTGCGATTGCATGGGACAGTTGCGAGCACTGTAATACTTACCAAACTGAAACTGAAAACAATATAATCTGTAGATTTTGAGTCCCTGTGCATGTCTTTCAAAAAGTTCATGACTTCTTTTTTCGTAGCCAGCTGGCACTTTTGCCTTTACAAGAGTCTAAAGGAAGGTGGTATTATTTATTTGTGCTGTTATCTTTAATAAGCCAGCAGCCCTTTGGCTTGTTTCCTTTTGTCGAATGCTATTTTATTGAAGGTAAATAATTGGGTTAGTTGTTGATCAGGATGTTTTTTAATAGCTTTGGATATTAGAATTACTGGATTTTGGGAGTACTTTTGGTTTTGAATGTCTTGGGATTATAACACAATCAGGGACTCTATAAAGACCTTCACATTTAATTGGTGGCCTTTTCTCAGTTTATTCTCTCAAACATATCTAAACTTTCCTACATACCCCAGGTCAGCCCATCTTCCTGAGTCAGTCTTCAAGGCTTTTGCCCCATGTGTTCATGGGAGGATTTCTTCTCTTGTTTTGGGGTTTCCAGTTCTGGGCCTACCTTGTGACACTTTTGGGTCCTTACATAATGTGTTTTCATCTACTTCCATTTTTAAAAAATATTTTTTGGGGATCCCCAATCCCATAAGTTGTCGGTTTGGCCCAGCATTGGGCTGAAGGTCAAATGGACAAAAGTTTGGGTATCATCAAGAAAAACGTTATGTAAGGGAGCTAGCTTGTACAGTTTAAATTGTCTTAGACGGTCTTTATCAAGGAAAACAGTGGCCTTTTTAGACAGATGGCTGTCTTACGCAGTGCCAATAAAATGTTTTTAAAAAATTAATGAAAAAAACAACCCAGGGGTAAATTGAAAGTGGCTATTTGTACAGACAGGTGGTCATTAGAGCAGGTTCGTCTGTGGTTTCATCTGCTTCCCATGTGTTAAAATTTGTTTCTCCACCAAATGTCTCACCTAAAATTGCTGACTTTCATGGATATGTAAGCCTTAGACTATTTAGGCGTGTCTTTGTGGGGAAAACAAAATCAAGGCTTCTTTAACATCCTCTTTCGAACTTCTGGTTCCACTTTGTGACGTAGTCATGTCTATTAATTGTTTGTTGTTTTTTAGGACTTTTTTGTTCTTGTACGTTTGAAATTGTTCAAGACTCATGGTCAAGGAGAAAAGAGGCTGGGGCTGAGGACAGATGGATGTCTTGGACTATGTCATTATGATAAAGAAAAAAAAACGCAAGGAGGGAAGTGGGAAGTGGTTGTTTGTACAGATGATTGTCTTGAACGGGTAGCCATTAGAGCATGTACAACTGTATTTGTTTTCTCATCTTTTTCAGTTCAAGGTCAACGAGTTTGGGGACCTGGAATTAATGGAAGATCCTGGCCCTGGTGCAGAGGTCAGTCAAGAGGAGACATCCATGGACGCAGACTATGAAGCGTGTGAACAGGAGGAGGATGATGAGGAAGAGGAGGAAGCAAGCAAAGGGAGCGCCAGTCTTGATGAGAACAGGGAAAGTAAAGTTTATTCTGGTAAGTGGTGAATGTTGTCTTGGATGTTACTGTTGTCTGCTGATAGCAATGGCGCAGTTTTCATTGACATTAGCGGCAGAGTTGTCTGGTTGATATTTTATAAGATGAATTTTCTGGTATAAGTGAGTAAGTGAGAATATGTGCACGCACATTTTTGGGTTTTGAATGTTTTTTACTTGGCGTGACAGTACAATCATTTTGGAACCAATTTATAGTTTGGAAATGGTTATATGAAGTTTTTACAGTCATGTACATTTCTCGTCTTTTTATTCCTTTGTTATGTTTGTACAGTAATTGTTATTTATTGTCCCCTTCATACAGTGACTGATCCAGCAGAACTCTCGGACCACGAAGGTGACCCCATCTGCTGCTGTGTGTACTGTGGTCGCTATGGTTATAAGAGTAAATTTAGGACTTCTGGAAGGTTCTGCTCTCAGACTTGTGCAGGAAAGTAAGTAGTGCAAGGCCTATGTGTATAGCTTGATTTATAGCTGCTCTCGATTTGAACAGTGGAAAAGGGGGGTGGGGGTGCATATGATACTGGAGTCCTTCTCTTTCTGTAATATATCATCATGTGTTATGTACAAGGTTCCATTACCTTTTGATTTTTCATTCAGTTATTGCAGCAATGTAACTTTGTTAGACTACTTTCGTACCTTTATTACCTGCTGTCCATCAGGTTAGAGCTGTTGTTGGACTTTCTTGTAAGGACTGTGGTGAGTGGATAAACAGATTTCTTTAAAGAACAAATGTAATCCAGAAATATTATGAAAGCAGTGTAATCCACAATAGAATTGATTGTAATCGTGAAAAGTGAGCTTTTCTTTGCCATATTACAATTTAACGGATGTCTTTTTGCTATGGTTATTTGTTTGCAGGAAAAACTTACACCGCAAACAGATGATAATGTCTCGGATGATGATGGGGATGAAAAGTAAAAAGAAAAGGCTGATCATGTCTGGTGAGCTTAAAGCAGCACCAAAGGAAGAATTTGATGGTGGTAAGGACTATGTTTTTGCAATTCACACTGGGTTTTTTTTAAAAATCTATACATCTAATAAGTATTTTCTAGACAGAAAGTTCTCTTTTGTAGGACATTGTAGGCTGCTGCTTCTGTGGTTTTCATGGACTTTTCTTTTGTATCAGCGTATTGTCCTGAATATAATGTGCCACTGAATCAACAGAAGGTCTTCAACATCTTGTTGTCAGTGAAAAAATAGAAGGTAAAAGAGGTTGACCAAGAATAAACTTCCCAAGAGAACTTGAAACAGGGTCCCCACAGGGTCGGGAAATCGGGAAAAAGTCGGGAATTTTGAGATAGGTCGGGGAAAAGTCGGGAATTTTGTGATTGGTGGGTAAGTCGGGAAAGGATATAGGGCCTGTGTAATGTGTAGCTATCTAGACTGTATGGTTGATGAATCCTGAAGAGGAAACGTAATTGAACCGCTGTGGCGGAAGTGTATGTGTAACACTGAGGCTCGATTGGGAAGAATCAAGATCTACTTTCGTTTTCGTTACCGCCCAGAAATTTTCCGGTAATAGTCTGATAGATAACGCAACATTTGTAACATGCAGGTTATGAATTATGAACGCTGTGTCGCCTTGAAAATAAATCAATATTAAAAACTGCCCTCTGCTGTCGCTTGTGGGGGAAAAAAAAGAAAAAGAACTTATACAAGCGTCTTGACAGGTTCGCCCTCGTGACCGGTCAATGAACCTGTGAGTACCGGCGGTCTGAGCGCTGTGAAGTATAGGACTCCTTTATAAGATACACACGTGGAAGGGGATTTGGGGGGGCTGAAGGCAACGCTAGAGGACAAAAACTGAACTTGGAAGCAAATTTTTAGCATTTTGATTACTACTTTAGAGCTCTCTGCAAAGCGCGCGTTGGTGCAGGCCTTGTGTGGAATCGGGATCCGTCATGCCTTGTTACTGAACCAAAGTGTTCGCGTTTGATTGGATGGGGTGATTGTAATTTATATCTATATTTTAGCTTTCTGTTCAAGATTGGCAGATTTTCAGTGTCACTGCATCTTGTGCCCCCCCACCCCCACCCCCAGTTCTTGCACCTCTCACACTGAATAGGTGTACTTGAGCCATTCTAGTTATTACTAATATTACTCTTCTTTGAGTTGCAGCTATGGTTTTCAGTTTTCGTCTTCACGTTTATTATATGAATCATGACACCCAGACTGGTTACTGACAGTCGATATTCTAGTTCTAGGTCTTTTCTCAGGCTCAAAACAGGATTCATTTTTTATATAGGGCCTATAGTTTGTTATGTTGGCTAATATGATGAGGGGAAAATATAAATAAGTAAGAACAGACTGAAATACCAAAGTCTCTCAAGATCCCAGTGCCACACTGACATGTTGTTGACTGGATATAATGTACCTACATGTGTGTGTGTGTATTCACAAACATATACATTGTACATGTATTATATTAGATATAAATGGAGTACACGCTTTCCTTGTTATGTAACGTGTTCCTGGAAAATGGATGAGGCCTCTCCCTTGGAAAATTGAGAAGCTGGGTTGGCAGTCACTCAGTATTATAGTCATCTATTGTTTGAAGACAATACTACAAAATGTACATTTGCATTCATTTATAGACATTTTGACTTTTTATCATTGATAGATGAGCTTTTTGGGGGATCATTCTTGACGTGCAGCGGCCTGATTTTTCCCTTCGATTGGGTCTTGAAAAAAATTTGGGGGTCTTGAAAAAATTTTCCAGGATTTGGTCGGGACCCTGTTGAAAAGATGGGTGACTGGGCCTGAGCCCAGTAGTGTGTTATTTGTAGAACATCTAAGCAGAGAAGCGAGGGATGAACCAAGATCACTCTTTTCTGTTTCACCCTGCATAATGTAGGCAAATTGAATGCTCAGGTTATAAAGTAAGTCACAGTACTTGACACTTGTAAAAGGATCTCTGTAGAAATAGAAATATCCGATACCTCAGCTTTATTTATATAAATATGCAGACACGCATTTGCTCGATAGGGTAATTCTGCTTAAATCAGTTTTTGAAATCTCGCTGTGTACTAATGAACTCCTTGAATCTTGACATACGGTCTCTGTGCTTTTCTCCCTTCAGGGACGAGTGGTGAGAAAAAGATGCTCCACTTCGATTGGGATTTGTATCTTGCTGAGACCGAAACTGTTGGAGCTCCCAAAAGACTGTTCAGAGAGGTGAGTTATTGTTGCGACTTTTGTTATTGGTCTAGCAACTCTTGGTGTTCGTGACATGGGACCCGTTGCCATATATTGTAGAGAACTGAATTCTTCATGATTTTCTCCTATTACAGTACAAGGTGTTGATTGGGTCCATTTTATCAAAAAATCCCCATATACTGAAAAATTTGTCTCCAGTGACTTATAATAAGGTTAGTGTTATAGGAACAGGTCTTTGCATTTTTGGTGAATTTTAACAGTGGTCCCAGCAATAAATACACAAACAACTGCCAATTTGACTCCTTGAAAGTCTGTTTCTCTGCTGGTTTTCTTTGACCACCATTTTTTGGGACAGTTTGAAGTTTGTGCTTAGAACAAAAAGTAGCCTTTGAAGACATTGGTGTATAAAATGTGCCTTGAAAAAGTTAATCTTGATGTTAAGGTATTCAAAATCAGGGGGGGGGGGGATGTCAAAATGTTTTGAAAGTACGACTAGAAAAAATTGGCAAAAAGGTGTTCTCATCCCTCGTTGTGAGAGTGAGACACAGGCTCGTTATATGATTTGGAAAGGAATTAGATTTTTCTATATTTGTTGCAGTTTATTTTTTATTATTTCAATTATTTAGTCTTTAATCCTCTGTGTCTCCACCAGCCATTTCCCACGAGCCGGAACGGCTTCAAGCTGGGCATGCGCATGGAGGGTGTCGACCCCAAGCACCAATCGTTGATCTGTGTGCTGAGTGTGGCTGAAATCCAGGGCTACCGGCTCAGGCTGCATTTTGACGGCTTCTCCGAGTGCTATGACTTCTGGGTCAACGCGGACTCGCCGTTTATTTTCCCAGCAGGTTGGGCAGAGAAAAACGGGAAAACTTTACAGCCCCCCAAAAGTGAGTCTTGTTTCTCACTGACATTTCATCACTTTTTTTTTCATAAAAATATGTGTTTCTCTTGTGTAAACTAGAATTCGAAAATGCTATGATTTTTATTTTTTTAAGATGAACATTTTGTCATTGTATGAAAAAGTAATTGCATATTTGAATCCAGAGTGTGGCTGCCTTAGAGAATAGGTACTCAATGTACCTCTAAGCACCAAGACCGTATACTTTCAGCAATAATCAATCAGTTAATTTATAAAACTTGTGGGACTTTGGTCTCTACGAGGACATTAGAATGATATTCTGTCCCTCATATGTATTAGTCTTATATTTGCTTATTGTAAAAAGGGTGAATGATATTTGTGATACCTCATGGGGGTCTTTGAAGTCTATGAAATGTCGATGGGAAAAAGGTTGCGCGTCTAGTTAAATTGGGATGGGTGGCGTGAAACGTAACATAATAAGTGAGTTAGAATTTGCATAAATTGAGATTTGTACATATTTTGGTTAAGGACACTTTTTTTTTTTTTTTTTTTTTTTTTTAAATAGTAATTTGCACTTTGATTAATGCGTTTGAATAACGTAGATTAGGGAAAACATACAACAGAGAAAATGGCATTTATTAAGTCAAACATGGCCATTTGTTAGATTTAGGGTAGGGTCAAGGAGGCATAAAATAACATGTTTCTACACTGATTTTTTTAAAGATTGGAAATGCTACAAAAGATGCAGAGGTTTAATTTTCCGGCATAGGCCAGATTTCTCTCGAATGACTCTTTATTCACTTTAATTGCACTTCTGAAACAACCCCTAGCGTGAAGTGAAAAGTTTCTTGTGCCTTCACCCAGCCCCAACTCCGATAATATCAGTATGCGCGCGCAACGCTCCAACCCTTACACCGACAGTATCGGTATGGAAAATTTCGCTCTCGTGACTGAAGACACTACTTTTGTGTGAAGCAGACTATAGCCTAATTGGAAGAGTAACCATTTTTTTTTTAAAACAGACTATAACCAGAAGTGCAAACCCAAATTTAGAACAAAGAAAGCTATATTCGTGAACCATGTGAGGGGGGTGCAAATTTTGAACTCATTTCCTTTCTTCGCTGTTTGTTTATTTTTTGACTCTGTATATATAGACCTTTTTCCACAGAGTATCACATAAAAACCATGACAAATTTTACCTTCAAATTTTCAATACATGTAAATAAAGGTTTTAATTAAATGTGTATGAAATTTTAGTTGGATATGTTAAAATTTAGTGGGGGGTTTTTTATTTTTCACTTCGTGGTAAAAATCTAGGGAGAGCTGACAACCTGGAAGAATAGACCTAAGGTTGAATGAGTTAAATCACTTGATTTTCTTAATTGAATCCGAGAAAGCCTTCGAACTCAGGATTGCCTGCATGTGTTGTATACAAATAAATGTATCTGTTCAGGTGACTGATGTATATTTCAAAGCGTTTAATGTTGTTGGTGATAACTTTCTTTTTCAGACATTCCTATAGAAGAGTTTAACTGGCCTGCCTACCTCAAGCAGACGCGAGCTGTTGCCGCCCCAAAGCACTTGTTTGTCAGCCAGCCAAACACGGTCAGTTCTTGTGGAATGTGAACACTATGGCAGCCACAATTTAAAATTATTTTTTAAAATTAATGCCCAAGGGGACTTTGTGACTCAACATTTAACCAGTCCCCTATATTTCCCTACGAGTTCTACTTCCCCAATGCCCAGTCATATACAGTCGAACCTGCCGTGACGGCCACATGTACAAACGGCCATTTCCATTTCCCCCCTTGCATTTTTTCTATATAATTTAACTTTGTAAAACGGGCACCTGTCTAACGCGGCCACCTTATTTTATTAACCCATTGTCAAATTTGCCTGCCTCGGGCAGCCAGGCATGGTCACTCATTGCCCGACGTTTTGTCAAAAATTTTGAATCGGCCCTTCACGCTGTGGGCGGGCTGTCATAATTCATTTACCTGTCATAATTGTTAGTCACTCCAATGAATGTTTACCCAAGTTTACCTATGGGTAGGCCTAACAATAAAATAAAAATTTCAACTGCTGGTGAGAGAAGCATGTTATCTGTCATAATTTCTAAGCCCCGCGCACAACTCATTCGCAAATCGTGTGTGGGGTGACCGGTCCTGTTTTGTTTACCAAATCTGTAACAAAGTAACAATGGACGTTGACATGAACTTACAACTGAATTGTCGCTCGTTCTCTGAGTGGTGGGGCCCCTTGTGTTTGTTTTACCGTGGCACTCGGCCTTCATCATCTTACATAATATTTCATTTTACCCTTACACAAAATCAGCAACAAAAAGAAAGCTTACCAAAGAAAAAAAACAACAAAACAACACAAAAAACCATTCTTACACCACCCGCTACCTTTTTCAAAAGAAAACAATAACCCTTTCGAATTATCCTTACGGCAGTCTAAAGTCTGAGATCAGCCCTGATTTCGACCTCGGAAGAAAATTATTTGCTTTCTTCATTTTGATAAATCCTGCCTAAGAAGGCAACCTGTGTTATGCGGCCACTTTTCTCCTTGGCAATGGGTGGCCGTTTTACACAGGTTTGACTGAACATTTACCTCCGTGTGCTGCACACCTGAAAACCAGTGGCACATTTTTACCATAATCTATCCAATTACCTCTGACAATAGTTCCATTTGTTGTCTTCTAAAACTTCAAACAAAAGCAGTCTAGAATTTTGTTAACCCCCAAAGAATCCTAACAAATAGCATGCGGTGTCGCCGAAATTATGATTGCACCATATTGTGTTGAAAAATGCTTGAGAACAGGCAAACCAAGTAAGTAAAGGCCATAAACCGATACATTTTCAGAAATTAGAATGTGACAGGAAGTAGAACTCAATCGTGAAATAGCAGGATAAACCAACCGAAATAGGGACTAAAATTGTGGCCTATTAAATTTGACATGACGCCGTGGAACAAAGCTTAAATCGGCCATCGACACTTGGAGGGATGTTGACACAAAATTGCAGACATAATCAGTATTTGCCTGGGCCTGAGAATTCAAGGACATAAATGTTACCTGGGCCAGAGTGGAGTGAGGGTTAATTTTAAAGAGAGAGAAATGGCAGGGTCCAAGTAAAAACAAAGGGAGAACATTGAATGTCCTTTGGAGGATATATGACGTTCCAGACTTACAAACTGGTCAAAAAGGCTTTTAAAAAAATGATCACACAAAAATTTGATGTGCAATATTTTTTTTTCGTAAGTTCTATTTTAATCTATATAGCAAAATAGAGTGCATCTCAAGAGACTCTCAATAGATGGACGATGGGAGATGTGTCTATTATTAGACGAATCGTAATGAAAGGCTTATTTGTTGTGTTTATGGTCATCAGGTGATCCCCTCCCCGTTCCGTGTGGGGATGAAGCTTGAGGCCGTAGACAAGAAGAACTGGAGTCTGGTCTGTGTGGCCACCGTGGCCGACTCATTGGGGGACAGAATCCTGGTGCACTTTGACGGCTGGGATGACATCTACGACTACTGGTGCGACATCGTCTCTCCCTCCATCCATCCAGTGGGCTGGTGCCAGCAGAATGGACAAACGCTGAGCTCTCCACCTGGTCAGTGAATGTTATAGTGGTCCAGTCTCACTTTTTTGCGTGGAAATGAGGATTTTTTTTATTTTTCAGAAAAAAGAATCTTGAAGTATTGTGCTATTATCTTGTCATAAGTTCAATTCATGTGCTTGACGTTTTACTTCTAAAACAGAAGCTCGTGAGCTTTGTTTATAAAACTGTTTATTTATTTTATTGAGGCCATGAAATGTTCAATTTCGACTTAGTCTTAATTATTGTTTTTGCAGAACTTTAAAAAAAATTATATGAATGTGGCCCTGGGGTCATAGCTGTTACTGGATAAATTATAGCTTCCGGTTGTGTTTTGGCTCTTGTACAAATACATTTTTGAATAAAAACACATGTCATTTTTTTTCTGACTGCCTGGGACTACCATGTTTGGTAAATTATTGATGCAAACTTTCCCTCCCTTTTCACTGCACAGACTATGGGGATGCAGGCAACTTCTCATGGGAGAATTACTTGGCTGACACACGCTCTACTGCTGTCCCAGCACGGGCTTTTAAAACGGTGAGTTTTCATAGAGCTGTGAATCATAAACATGTTGTAGCTTTGAGTTTCTGATTTTTTCCTCTGTAGTTTGGTATGGGTTTTGTTGTTTTTTGGGGGATTTTTAGTGGGGTTACCTTTTTGATTTTAGAAATCACCAGCCAGCAATTTCTATGTTAAATTTTTTTTATACAGACTGTTTCTTTAAGATTTTTGGGTTCTTTGCCTCCAGTTATTTATTTTATGAATGCTCCTAAATCATTATAAAAGTCATTAGTGCACCCAGAAGGCCACTAGAGTTAAGATGGTCAGGGATGAAAGTATGTGTGCTATGTTGTATTATTTACTGTTGTAATGTCGTGCGATCAGCACTCCTGTATCTGTGGCTAGGTGCTTTGCTCTAGCATGCAGGAGACCCGAGTTAGATATACGAGTGAGAAGAAATTTTTCTGGGGTATCTCGGTCTTTCTGCTGGGATGTTGTTGTGTCCCTCTCAGTCCAGGTTGACCCTGACAGGCAGGATCAGAAGAAGCCCGTCTCCTCAAAGATCTTATTTTTTCGATGTAGGGTGTAAAAATACTTACGTTACGATCAGCAGTGTTTTGGAGACACATAGGTAACATTGGGACTTAATTATGGATATGGTTGTCTTAGCTGTCCCCCAGCAAAAATTTTCTGTGGGTGGTTGGCGGGTACTGTAGTGTGGTATGCTCCTTCTTTTCTATCAAACATCTTTCATCCTTATCTCTCTTTGTGTTGCAAGTGCCATAAAACTTTTACTAAAACTAAACTAAAAAGGTTCTTTTTGAAAATGCCCACTGATGAATTTGGGGATTTTTTTTTTTTACAGCGTACGCCAATGGGTTTTGAGACGGGCATGAAGCTGGAGATCGTGGACAAGCGAAATCCTATCCTTATTCGTGTGGCAACCATCCAAGATGTGAAAGATTTCCGACTACTCATCCACTTTGACGGCTGGGACTCTCTTTACGACTACTGGCTGGAGGATGACAGCATGGATCTGCATCCGCCCCAGTGGTGCTGGAAGACATTCCACCCTCTACAGAGTCCCATTGGTGAGCTACTATGTGGCGTGTCTTAGAGTTGTCAATGCTTTTTTATTACACTTTCTGGTGCAAAAATTATTTCTGAACAGCTCACTTCTGATTAGTACAGACCTGCCACTCATCCCGATTTAATAGGGACATCCCGATTTTTGCTCCAAATCTTAAGCATCTCGATTTTTCCGATTTCGGTCAGGTATATCTCAATTTTTTGCTCCAGTCTGTTGCACCGGATTTTTCTAAATAATTTACTCTGCCTTCTTCTCTGTAGCTGGAAGCACTCATTGAACTTTTTGTCAGCAGGGTCTCGGAGCATTATTTTCCGAAATATCGATGCCAAATTTAGTAGCTGACTCACCCCAAGTTGTGTTTGATCTTTGCCCGCTCTCAGAATTCTCCAATGGTAGTCTGATAACTGCAACATACAAATAATCGATATATAATATTCGTAGTTTTGCTGTTACTTTCAAAACATGCCTTGTCCGAGGTCTAGTAACTGCGTGTTCACACCAAATTAATATTTGGACAAGCAACAGTTGTTCTAACCTTTACACAACTAATTGTGCTGTCTAGACTAACACTCGGCCATTGTCGTTGCTTTGGTCTGAACGCAAATGAGTGATAAGAAAGAGATATTTTGTTGGTACAATTGGTCGGTCGGCTGTAGCCGTTACCCTAGAAGGACTGTTGCTCGTCCGATTGTTTTTTGTGAACGCGCAGTTATTTGGGCCCGTCAGTAAAATTGTTTCGCATCACATGACATGACTTCAACATGTGAGTTCCACGTGTGTCAGTCCACGTGTGTCAGGGACCGTCCGTTGACGGGGTCAACTTAAGTTCATGCACACTGGTTGAAGTGTCTTTCGGGACTTATTGGTTGCAGGGGGTTGAGTGCTTGACATGATGCTTCTGCATTTTTTTAAAATAATGATAACACGCACACTCCTATTCATATATGCATAGATATATATATATATCCTGGAACATTTTAAAGTCTGCTTGGCGGTCACCATGGTGGTTTTTGCTGTTGATCCCGATTTTTTCCTCTTGAGATCCTGATTTTGAGATTTCATATAGTGGCAGGTCTGTTAGTAGCGGTATAGTTTACAAATACTTGTCTTGCCAAAGTAGTGCTTGATGTGGACACATCCTGTGCTGCACAAGACAACTTCTGTTAGCATTCTCTCCCTTGCAGTCTATATTTCTCTCTTGAACATAATGCCATTCTTGGATCCTTTCAGAAGTTTCCTTCGAGAGTTAATACGGCACAGTGCACAATGATGGCATCAAGAACAATTATACTCTCTGAAGTTTTGACGACTGTTTTCAAAACTCCCATCTTGCTGCCACTGCATCAAAAGCACAAAAATACCTCTTCTTACTTTGAAGTGTCTCATGTTGAAAATGAATGGCTGTTGCAACATTCGGAAATGTGATTGAACCCATGGTCAGTTGCTTTGGTTCAGATCAGGAAACAAAGGTTTTATTTTTCCATATGTATCCCTCTCTCTCTCTTGCCCTTTTTAACTCCCAGTGGAGCACAGGCCATAAACAGCATTACTCCAGCAAAGCCTGTCCTGAGCATCCTTTTCCTCCATCTTCCAGAACTGGCAGTCATGTTGTTTTTGCTGTTGTTGTTTTTGTAGCTGCTTTTTGTTTTACGGGAAAGGGCTGCTAACCCTTTGCCCAACCGGCCTTAGTCGCCTTCTGCGACATGCGCGGTGCGGATACAGTGGTACTATTCTTTGCTCCCCTGTCTCTTGGACAGGGCCCCGAGAGCCACACAGGTGACATGTATCCCATTTGGCATTTATAGGATGAACCCTGCACTCTCTCTCCCTCTCATGCTCTCACAAAAAATTATTCTTTTGATATGTTGGTGGCTCCAGTAAATGAATCAGTGAAAAGCAATAGTTACCTTCAACTGCCTTTTTGGACACATTTCCACTGTTCACACCCGCTGAGAGCTCACACAGCTTATTGCGTGCTCTAGCATTGTAGCTTTTGATGTGAGCATACAGGTGTCCGTCGAGCCACGAGCAAGCGAGCTGCTAGCTGCGCATTAGCTGCTGATGAGCTGCGGTTGTTTTTGATCCAAACACCCGAGCTGTTCTGCTCGATGGTGCTCATTGCTAGCTGGGAGGCTGGGCTCAGTTAGTTGTTTTTTATCTAGACCCAGGCTTAGAGTCATCCTCACATATTATGCATTATTAGAATCTTCTTTAAATCTATAAAACATGAGAAATTCACAAAAACTGCAGAAGCTACAATATTGATTTTGAAACTTTATGTAAAACTCTTTCTAATATGAAGTGATAGATAATGGAAATTGAGAGCTAAAAAATAATTTTTGTGCTTCAGAGGTTTCTTCTCAGTGGGCCTGCAATTATGTGCAGACCTTTAGTGAAAAATGATTTCTCTCAATATCATCTCGATCTTTTTCTCCTTTGCAACAGATAAGGACAGGCACAGCCAGAACGAATCCGCTGGTGGTTGCCCCACATTTGGATGCAAGGGCATCGGTCACATCAAAGGGGCCAAGTACACTGGCCACCACAGGTCGGTTTGGAATTTCTGTGTGTGTGTGTGTGTATGCTTGCTTGTCATGTTGTTGTTATACGTGATGTCAGTGATCTAGTGGTTAGGCTCTTGGACTAGCAACTATAATGTCGGAAGTTCGAATTATGTCCGAGTTCCAATGTTGTGTTCCTAGGAAAGGCACTTTGTTAGAATTTTCCTCACTTCCCCCTGATGGGAATGGGTACCCAGCGGAAGATCTTGTCCATTTATCAGTGTTTGAGCGCTTAGTCTGCCGCTTGTAGTGTAGGCTTCCCGGGAACCTGACAATGTTGCTGAGCCTCTAGGGTCTGATAGGGTAATAATATAATGTAAAGCACATAGATCTTGCTGTTGAGTGGGGGTATATGCTATAAAATTGCTATTTTATGTATTATTATTATTATACGAAGAGATGTGTACAAGCATGTTTTCTTGACATGTAATGCAAGTATCTTATCAAGTGCACTTTTTTTACTGGTAGTATGGGTTAAACGATAGAAATTTCACCTAAAGAATTTGTTAAAATGGAGTGGAACCTGTTCTAGTGGCACCTGTCCAAGACAGTTTCGTGTACAAACAACCACTATCCACATTCCCCCGTTTTTGTTTTTCTCCCTATATTATAATGATACTGTCCAGGACATCCACCCGTCTAAGACAACTATTTTTCTCCTTGACAATGGATGGCAGTCTTGGATAGTTTCAGTCCGACAGACATATTCAGCCGATGTTGAAGTTTTGATGCTTTGGTTTTGTTCATGATGTACATATTCACAGAATCTACCTTATTTTTGGTCATGTTTCAGTGCATTTGGATGTCCTTACTCGGAGGTGAATATGAGCAAAGAATCTGCCCTCACTGACCGTCTCGGCTCTTCTCGCTCTGAAGAAAGTGGCGGGGTTCTTATCCGGCACGATCCGTCGGGCGAGATTAAGTGAGTAGCTCAAGCTGAGGGTGTTGTGAAAAAAGTGGGTCGATAGAGAAAATTGAGAATGTTGGTTTAAAAATACATTAACAGGTTGTTTTAACACTGCCCCATGGGATGCCGATCGGCTCCCGGTGTGATATATAGCGTGTACCGCACCTGTATCCTGGTCCATGGGGATATGTGTTTCGCAGCGCGCTGCGTGTGTGGAAAGTGTTAAAAAATACTGATGCATGCTTGTAAAATGGATGCGGAGGGGTGGACAGACATGCAATTGTTTGCCTATATTTTATCCTTATCACTTGTACTGTCATTAATTGGGGTTTTGGTTACCCTAATGTGAGATAATTTCAGTGAAATATGTTCAGAAATGGGTAACTGAGTTCAGAGTTATAAACAAGTTTTTATTCTTTCCATGCCTATATTATATGGAAAGTATCAATTCATTCTATGCTACATATAGCTACTATCTTATGTTGTCGGTTAAATGTTTCTATTTGTTGCAATAGTGTGTACTTGTTGTTGTTTTTTTATTTAAAAAAAAAAGTTTTGCTGACAAAGGTCAATACAGAGAAAATGTTTTACATGAGTAAGTGAAGTCTAATATTTCTCTTAGCATTTTGTTGTTGCACATAAGGGACTTGAGACCCAAAGCAAGTCGCTGGGGAATATTACTACCTTGCTTGCGCGTTGGATGTAGCTTAAAAAACTTCTCTCCCCACCCCCTTTAGATTTTTTATTTTTTTTGCCTTTGACACATTTAGTATTACTACTCCACTTGAACCAGTTGAAATGTGTATTCACTGGTGACAATACCTTTATATTTGGGATGGTTTGTGTTTTGAGTTTGCTGGTGTTTTATTGCAGGATCTTGGTAAGATATTATAATATGCTTGTATTTGGGAAGCGCCTAAACTAATAAAAGAACTACAGTTGAAATTGTTGAAGATTCCCCCCCCCCCCCCCCCCTTTGTTATTGTTAAGGAGAGAAAAGTGGTTGTCTTTGTCAGGTGGATGTCTTGGACTGTCGCACTGTGTCATTATGATACAGAAAAAAGCAAGGGTGGGAGTGGGAAGTGGTCATTTGTACGAGTGATTGTCTTGGGACGGGTGGCCGTTAGAGCAGGTTCGATACTTGTATACTTTTCTCTTTGTATCAGACGATGTCCCACGCCTGGTTGTGATGGCCTTGGCCACGTCACAGGCAAGTTCACATCTCACCATTGCCTGTCAGGATGTCCTCTTGCTGAGAAAAACCTGGCCAAAGTGAAGCAGGAAAATGGCGTGGGGTCACGACCAGTGGGAAGGCCAGGTCGTGGGCGCAAAAGGTATGTCTTTTTCAATTGCTCAATGTTAGACTCCGCTGTACGTCATTTTTCTAAATGACGTATGGCGGAGTCTTGCACTAAACATTCCTTTCGGTTGTTGTTGTTTTGTTGGGGTTGTTTGTGGTCTGATACGTTGTTGTACAAGTCTTCATTACTCTCACCTGTTTTTGTTGAGATTGTCAAAAGGTGGTTGTGCAGGAATATTTAAAGCTTGGATTGCATTGTATTCCTTACTGTCCGAAGATCACTCACATTACTCCCATTTCCTACCTACCTCTTTCCAAGTCTGCCATCTGTCGCCTGGGAAACTTGCACTGTTTTACACTCTTCTGAAATTGAAGTTTGAACTTCAACCTCCCTCCTTTCTTTGTACAGTAGATTGGTTGGGTTTTTTTAGGGGGATTTTTCACCCACCTTGTGAAGGTTGATGGATGAAACTCTTGTATGTTCTACTCGTTGTATAGTAATAATAGTGATAGATCGTCTGCGAAAGTCTGACCATAACCAAAGCATCTGCAGAGAAGAATACTTCTTAAGCGAAATAAAAGAAATAAGATGACTTATGCTATAGCCAATGAGACCAATTCTGATAGAAAGCGCTTAACACATTTTGGGCATCCAAAAGCTTGCCAGTTGTCCACTGTGCTGTTCATGTGTTATTCCTTCCCACAGAAAACTGCTGAGCTACCCACAAGTTCTCTGTGATAAAATGGTGAAGCATGAACCTTTGGAAGGTGAGTTTAGAGTGCATGGGTCTTTGAGCAGTTTTTGAAATCTTTTAAACATGTATGTGATCTGTCAAGAACTGGATGATTTTATAGAGAGTATCACAGATGCTAGACATTGTGGTGTGGTGTAGTTGCACGGGCAGACTATTTCAATTTCTGCTTATGTACAATTTTTTGTTGATTGGGCAGTGTTTTTCAGATAGAATTGTTATAACCCTTTCCGACAAGAATCACTGTTTTATTTGTATTGCACAAAAATATGATAAAGCACTGATATCAAATACAGTAAGATTGACAAATTCTCACAATTTTAAATTCTTGAAATAGATTAAAGCAGTTTTGAAAGTGTCGAGTTTTATTTTGTTTTGTTCTTTTTCCGCCTGTGGTGTCAGCTCCGAGTGAAGAAGTGAGTGCATTCCACGCAAGTATCCACGAGTCTGTGTTCCAGTCGGGAGTGCCCGTCCCCGCCTCCCGTGAACAGCCTCTGTGCTGGGAGCAGCACGCCAAGCTCCTGCCTGGTGTGGGGACGGTCAACCGTACCTGCGTGCCTCGGTGGTCAGTGGAGGAGGTGGCCGACTTCATACAGCGGCTGACGGGGAAACAGGAACAAGCGCAGAGGTTTCGGGATGAGGTAAGCAGGGCTGCCTAAATCTACCGATTTTTCCGGTAGTGACTGATTTTGGGCCTGCTCTACCGCCATACCGATATAGGGGTCAAAACCAAATTTGCGATGGGCACCTAGAGTAAAAGACCCAAAAAAAGAACGTTTTGTAGTTACCAATCTTCCCAGTTTTTGCGAAAATCCGTACATTCCGAAAAATCCGTATTTGTCGAATCATCATATCAACTCCATTCGTTAAAGAAAAAGAGAGAGACAGTAGATCTATTAATATTAACAGCTTTCTGTGGCAAAGGATCAGTGTACTTGTATCCGTAACTTCTCGGATATTTACGGCAATTCTCGGCAATAAGTTGTTCGAAACTGCCAGATTTCGCATAATCGACCATTTTCCCTCTATGCAGTTCGGTCGGCAATATATTTTCACATGCAAGTCAGCTAAAAGCTGATAATCTTCCTCCTTTCTTTTATTCATGCTTTCTGTTGATCTTCGGGTTTTTGTTGCGGCTTGAAAATATGTGCATTTATCAAGAAATGTGATATTGAGGCAAAACTTTCGCAAATCTGGCTAGATCTAGAGAATTGGTCTGTACCGGCTTGAGGATTTTACGGTCGTGGGATAAAGCAGCAGTGCAAGAAACTGATGCTAAAATTAAATAATAACTCCGAGGTTTTGATATTCGGCAATCAGAAATTTCAATTTATGAAGGAAAATTAGAGTACAGCCTTGGTGATTGTCTTCACGGATTTGCCTAATGTCAAAACAAAATAAAAGGCTAGTTGTATTTTGGCACTATGAACCATGCCATTTTGCTATCGCAGTGACAACATGTTCTTTGTAAATTTTGAAACAGTTCAAAAGAGACTATATGACTAAATGAAAGTCGTGTCATCTAAAGGAAGCAGCTTTTTCTATGTTAGAAGTGATCCTGAAAATATCTCTAGCCAAAGTGGCTGTTTACTGATAATGTTGGTTTATTGTTTTTTTTTCTGAAGCATTTTTAACAAGACTTCTAGTGTAATAATATACTTGAACTTTTCTTTTCTCTGTCCTCAGGAAATTGATGGAGACTCATTTTTGCTCCTGCAACAAAGTGATCTGATGAACTTTCTCAATATAAAACTAGGACCAGCTGTCAAGATTTTCAACAGCATCTTAGTTTTTAAAGGAGCAAACGATCCACTTTAGTCAAATGTGCTTCCAGTTTTGTGATTGTTGTGAATTGTCTAGAGCAGAATAGAGGTGCTATTTTACTGTTGTTTTTAGTCATAGATTTAAGTTCATGAATCCATAATAATAATGGTCAAGTATACTTACAGTTTCATGTATATATTGCTTCATTAACGGACAAAAACAGAATGCAGCTGAGTACTTTTGTCTTGAAAGAATGGTCTGTTCGAAGATAAAGAGCAAAGACACTTGACTGTGGAAAGGTCTAGTGAAAGTTTTGTAGATAGCTTATATGCTCCATCTTTTTGTATTTGTTCATATAAAAATTTTGTATGACATAAATGTAGAGTTTAAATGCTTCATCATTCATGTCATCTGAAATATGAAAAGCAGGTAAATTATTTATAGAGTGCTAATTTTTTAAATAATTTTTTTGAGGGGGGGTTCAAAGCAATAGTGCAGTATAATTTGATCTCATATCCTGTAACGTTTATGAACACTTTTGACTGGATGGTCTCACAGTATGGAGCCTACAACTTTTTACTCGTAAATAGAGGTGCAACAAAGAACTTTTGTCGGTTAGTTGTGTGTCCCTCCTGCGTTTCGTACCTGCTTCTCTGTAAATTCTACATTCCATCAGGTTGTGTGACCAGTGATACATGTCACTGAGGAGTCCTTCTGTGTAGACCTTGTGCTGTTTCCGCCGTCTGCCGTCCGTTAATTTTTTAAGCTCTTTATAACTGTTGTTGTATTGGTCAGGATGTGAGCTGCTTCAACTCTTTTTAGAAAAAGTTCAAGCTTCTGAATAATTTTTTTGTGGAGTCCACTGCATAGATGCATGGATATATGTATACTTTGTAAAGATTTTAGTTTTTAGAGGGCTTCTTTTATTTAGTTATTTAGTTCTGAATTGCTAGCACAATTCCTTAATTAACAATTTACTTTCGCAGAAGGGTTGTCGCCTTTCAACTATAAGTCCAACCCTTGTACTATAGAGATGTACAAACAATAATTAAATTTTCATTTCTTTACATGGCAGTATAAGGGGTAGATGGCCTTTACTGCTCTGATAGTGAATTCATGGAGATAGTGTGTGCATCTGAACCAGTGGATATTGAAACAATATCATTTGCTTGCTAAGTTGGAGTTTTTGTATAGGATTCCTGTTTGTGGAAAATTTAAAGCTGCACCAATAGTAACTTGGTGTACATCTAGTTTCCATATGGACATTTGTGGCACAACGAGGTGGAATCAGGCGCTCGTCAGTTTTTGAGCATACAGAGTTAACTTAGTATCATCTGCAAGCTTATTCATTTTCCTTGCTTTCCATGAAAAAATAACAAACTATCTTGAAAATAAGTCAGGAGGTGTTGGTAGCAGGTATCAGAGGTTAAATTAATGAGAAAATGGCTGCCAAAGTTTGATAACATCGGTAGCTTGAGAGTCCTTGAAATAATGAAAGCTGAAAATTTACATATTATTAATCAATGTTTTTCAATAAAATTCACATTGAAATGTGTTTTATAATGGACTGAAAGATGTTGAGCCTAAATACAAAAATTCTATTAAAATTGCCCAACTGGCAGACAAATGCCATTTTCCTCAATCTCGTCATTTTGACAAGCGCCTCATTTTACCACAATGCCTCACATTTATGTATTATCATCGCCCAGTGGGAGTTGATTTATTCTCATTTTTGTCCCTCCCTCACGGGTTGGAAAAGCATGTTTTCTATTCAGGCTCTCTCACTGCTAAAAGCTCTTGTCTTTCTTTGTTTCTTTTTCATTGTCCTGGTTGGTTCACTGAGTCATTGCAAGTGAATTAAGTCTTCTTCTTTTGTCTTTGTCCAGTTCTTGCTAGTCTCCTATTTGATTGAAATGGTGTTTATTTGCCTTTTAGTCCGTTTCCTTCCTTTGTAAATGTTCATCTGAGAAGTTGATTAATTTCTACTTATTGTATATATTTGTGAGATGTGGCCATAAATTCTGAGCAAGGGACTTTCTTTCTACCATGGTAATAGTAGCAAATTGTATATCTATTGAAGTAAAATATTGTAGATAAAGGGTTTGAAAATTACACCAGTGATTAATCTAAAATTGTTTTGCACCCAGCAGAAGTGGGTAGATCACCTGTTTGTTTTTGTGGGTGGTTCTTTTTTTTTTTTTAATTGTAAAATAATACCGTCAGATGCTGACATAAATTTGTGTTGAATTTTTCGTACATGAATTGAGTTGCGGAATTTTGTCAATTTACGTCAAACGTCCAAACACAGTCTCAAGAAAACATTTTTGGTGCCTACTACCTTGGGGACGGGTGGGTTTTTTTTGGTGGTTTGAGGTATGAATTGACAATAAACAAAAATTTTGTTATTGAGAAGTGAATAATAAATCAAAGCAACGTAATGGTTCTCGAAGGAAAATGCTGTGTTTGTAGACTACCTTTGGTCAGTAAAATGCTTTTGTCTATGACTGCCTTTCTTTATGATTTGACTAGTTTTTGCAAACAGAGAGGTACCTGGCTATATTTTGCTCTGCGAATTTGTAGTTTGCAGATTATAAGAACGAAAAGATTCAAAAGTTTTTGTAATCGCTAAAGCAAGAAGTTGATATAATGAAACCACAGTTCTCAAATTTAAATACATTCCGATTACATCGAGGTGAACTCTTCATGCAGAGCATATTTTATTGTTAAGCTGTTTGTGCTTTAAAGGGTCTCTCATTTGATTTGACCTTTTCTTTCTCCACTTTAAGCTGCTGCCTGTTCTGTGTGTGATCTTCTCTCATTGATGTGCCTTCCTGTGGTCAGGAAACCTACTCTGTCTCTCACACTGTGGTGCCAAGTTTAATGTGTTGTGAGAAAATCCCGAAATTTTGTCCTCGTTAATTTACTTAAAACATTAAAAACTGTGTGATCATTTCTCTCACGGTTAAGGAACCAAAGGGAACGACTGCGTTCATTTTTTTCTTGTTGATACAACTCCTGGATCGGTCAAATATTTATATCGGCTTCTTTACTTGAAGTAGGTAAAGTCACATATTTGAGGTATGTTACAATGTACTCTACCTGCCGACAGACTGAACCACAAGCGTTGGTTTCTGCAAGTTTATATATCGGAGCACTATGACAGCCAAGTGTATGGTACAGTGAATAGAATCTAGTTTCTTTCTCCACCACTCCTCCCCCTTTAAATGAGGTTGTGTAGAGCGCTGATTAAAAATCTAAGAGGTGTAGAGATACGAAAAACACACACATTGACTGCTTAGTGTAAGAAGACGCCACCTTACGCTATTTTGAAAAATGGCATGCGATGGATTCTTTCACTGAGTAGTCAATGTGATATAAATAACAATCCATTAGAAAGAGACGAGGTCCTTGTGGGTTTTCCCTGTCCAAAGAGTTTTCTTTGCACTTTTGTGTTTTGTCCGTGAGAAGAATAATATCCATATTAGGCCTTTCCGTTCTCTGTGATTTTCATTTGTATCATCTCATTCCCTGTGTTCTCACTGTGAACCACCATACCATAATCAGATTTCTGCCAAATGGTTGATTTTGCTGTTTTATTCATTATGTTTCTGTACTACATGTGCCATAATAATAATGACGTGTATTTCGCGCACAGTATACAGAGATGTGTGTGTGTGCTGTTGCACTCTTATGGTCTGCTCAACGATACATTTCAATAAGTGGTGGGTCTTTTGCATGTGAACAAATACCAGTCTCAAAAGCTCAATAATTTGTGTTTGATATGGGGAATATGTTTGTGTGTTTGAATATGCATTTGTTTGGGGGTTATTTTTTAAGGGTGAAATGTATGATTCTTCCTCTGAGGGTGGTTGATAATTTAACTTCATCAATGAAAAATTACGAGTTATTTTTCAAAGCTGTTTTTGCAGTGTAATATATTACTACTGTACACCCTTTTTTGTTTTTTGTTTTGTTTTGTTAAAATACAGCATGACTTGAATTCACAATTGTTTTCCCCTTACCCTGCGGGGCGATGATACTGACTGAAGTGTCTTTAGGCCATTCTCAAAGGGCGGGGGGGGGACATTAATAATGTTCTTATGCACAGAAGAATTGTAAATGGGCTGATTCATCAATGTCATGCTATGCTCATAACTGTGCCTGAACTGCAATAGGGAACTGCTGCTTTTTCTTTCCTAATCCTTACTGTCATCATTTTCCTCTACTTCTTTTGTATGTTTGTCACATCCTTGTGACCCCCTATTTCCAGGATGCCTTGATAGTCGAAGTTTTTTCTGGACGTTTCCGAGATTGCATGACAATTTTTGCATCTCCTGGTTGTATCAGCTATTTCAATGCTTACTTCCCTTGGAATGTGAACGAACTCAAGTTCTGATAGTGTGGCTTCCTTTGCAAAGAACTCCTGTTTATTTGTTTATTATTCTAAAGGGGGGGATTATGGTGGCTTTGCTGTCCAGTGAGTGCCCAGCTCATTCTAGAAGACTCCACCTCCCACCTCCTCAAGCAAATTTAAAATCAGTGCTTGTCTAAAAGCTGAAATAAAATCGGTGTAAACAGAATTTTTAAAAAATATTTTCTAAAACGGTTTGCGACTGGCAGCAAATGTTGGAATGGCCAAGATCACTAAGGTTTGGAAGGTGGTTATGTAAATGTCTAGGTTGCTCAATTTATTTAATGAGAAGGCTTTAGGCCGCACATGATTTGAAATCTTGCAGGGCACAGCAGAAGAAAAAGAAAGAAAGCCATATTTTGATATATATATAATATATAGAAGAGTCTGCCTAAACCTATATCTGTGGAATCGCCAGATTTGGGGGGTTAAGCTGATATTTTGTTTGTTTTTTGTTTTGGGTTTTTTTTTTGTTTAGAGACGCTGCCTTGTATCTGTGAAAGGGCTGCCAAATATTGTGTATATATTGCCATTAATGTGTCCCCTCCCAAAGATGGGTATTGCTAAGTTCATAATATTATATTTTACATTTTACACTGCCAATGAATCATGGTGAATGCTTCTGATGAATACAAGTTTGCGTATTTATTGTATTTGTTGTCACCATGTTAAAGAATGAGTGATTGAGTGTTTGTTGTCTTTGGAACGTGGGTTGATTCCTGAGAGCTTTTCTTCAGACTATTTGTAATCTGTTGATGTTTTGTGAGGGATTGAAGGGTGCCCTGGTGTGGTTCGCTCCTTTTTTCCCATTAAATATTTATCGTCCTTAACTCTTATCCTTCTTTTCTTTTTTGTGTTAGTCACTCGTAACAAACACAAAAAAGGAGGGGGATAAAGACGATAGATGTTCTTCTTTCCTATCAAACATCTATCGTCTTTATCCCCCTCTCCTTCTTTATTGTGTTTGTTAATTTCTTTTAACACCTCTAATCTTCGGCGCTTATAATGACGTTATTGTTATGCAAGCGCCGTAAAACTCTCACTAAAACATCTCTTGTAACATCTTTAGTCTTCGGCTGTTGTGAATGCCCTATTTGTGTTGCAAGTGCCGAAAACTCTTACTGAAACCTTGTTTTTAGGGGGGGGAGGTTG